TGAACATGCACTTTTAACCCATCTGGAAACGAGAAAATACACATTCATTCGACTAATTTTTGTGTTTCTGACAGTTATTGCAATTATACATGTAAACATGTATTTTACTCTAAAAAGCGCGTACCATTGACAGCATTTAGTTAATTTTGTCTTTTTTGATTATCTGTTTTGTTTCGAATTCATATTAGCTTTCTTTAGATGTGATTAAAACAACTCTTCAAATAAATAAATATTAAAAATGTACATTGAATTATTTTCTTTTGTATCTTATCAAAAACAACCATCGATAAGGTTTTCAATCTGACTTTAATATATAGAACGTGTGTTTCGTTGAGTACATTCAGACTATATTATGAAGCGGTGCTCCAAAAGTATAGAAAAATGTTCATTTTCGTGATAAGTGTGTTTTTGACTGTGTTTGCATTCTATTCGTATTTAACATGGAATTTTGATTATTGGAGGCGTCGCCGAGTGGCTGGTCCCACTCCACGATCGTATGTTGGTACATTTCCGAAAACGGCACTATTCGACAAAAACTCAAATTACATTGAAGAAACCACCGAAATTTACAAGTGTGTTTACTCAAATCATTTTCAAGTTGCATGGCTAACCAAACTGAACATTGAATTGCAGACAGTACTTTCGCAGGCATCGATTTATTGGAGTGTTTGAATTTCGTTCGCCAAAATTATTAGTCTTAGATCCAATTTTAGTGAAGGATATATATACAAAATATTTCAAAAATTTTGGTGAAAATTCATTAAGCGATGCGGTAAATACAAATATTTGTTAAACAATCGATGATTGTACGTTGTCGACATTCACTCCATATATGTAATTTGAAAAATTCATTTTATGACTAGATAACCCGAAGTGCCGATCCGTTGTTTAAACCGAATCCGTTCATCGATAAATTGAAGCTATGGAAAGAACGACGCTTAGAATTAGCTCCGGCTTATACACTATTGAAGGTTGTTGTTGTCTGGCAAAACTCATTGATGAAATAGAAATTAATTGCAAATGTATTTGATATAATTTTGCCGTAGGCCAAAGCAATGTATTCAGCTGTAGAAAATGCATGCCGTCAACTGGAACATTATATTAACGGCAAAATTGAATCGAACCAAAATATTGTTTCGTCGAAAGATGTATGTATTTCATGCACACGCTAACAATCAATATCGATTTCAATCACACAATACATGTATAGCTTAGTGCATTTATTCATATACGAATATTTAGTTCACCGAGCTTGTTGAAGATGCAATTCGATAATTAATTATTTAATCTTTATAGATATGTTCACGTGTAATAGCCGATATATTGGGAAATGTGATATTTGGATTGGATGCAAAAGCATTCGATGAAAAATCTGATTTTGTTGAAAAATCGCTCCGAATGTTTTACACAACACCGTATGATAATATTCGATTTATCATTTACACGATATTTCCATGGCTGAGAAAAGTTTATCCCGATCAATTTACATCAACCGAATTTACAAGTTGGTTTAAAAATCTATTTGATCAAGCTGTTTGTTTGCGCAAGCAAAATAATATTTCACGTGACGATTACCTGAACTACTTGATTGAATTACGAAATAAGAAAAATACACCGATGGAAGTGATTTATGCACACGCTTACACATTCTTTTTGGATGGATTTGAAACCGTATCTTACATTCTCGGCAAAGCTGTAAATTGCCTGGCCGAAAACAAGGAATGCCAAACGAAATTGAGATCAGAGATAAAAACATATGAACACGTCACCTTTGAGCAGCTTCATCAGATGCCTTATTTGGACGCCATTCTTAATGGTATGAAGAAAATATAAAAAAATTACACTTTTGGCAATTAAAATGGTAAATTTATCTTTTAGAAACGACTCGAATTAGTCCATTTCCTTTTCCAATTTGGAAAACATGCACTGAAAGCATTGACTTGACCGATTTCGATGGTCGAAGTGTACACATCGAAAAGGGCGTTAGAATTATACTGCCAATCAATGCGCTTCATAGTCACCCCGACTTTTATGCCAATCCAGAGAAATTCGATCCCGATCGTTTCGATGAGAGCACAGGAGGTACAAAGAAATTAAAAGATGCCGGTGTGTTTAATCCATTCGGGAATGGACCGCGTCAATGTCTAGGTATATTGCTTGAAATTAATTAAAAACCATGATAAAGACATTGTTTCAATTTTGCCATAATTTTTTAGGAATCAAAATTGCAATAACTGAAATCAAAGCTATTCTCTATACTCTGGTTAATAAGTATGAATTTGAGTTAGAACCAAGTGACAACACACCAAGTTCACCGACTGGAATGCTATTTTTCTCTGAAAATAATGCGAAACTCCGATTTAAACCATGTTTATGATCACGATACAATGATTGTCACATTTTTTCTTTCTAGAAAGGAAAAAACAATTTAAGTAACAGAAATGTTGATCAAACGTGTGTCAAGATACAGATATATAAACAAATAAAGTAAAACTGCTCAAAACTGAATTGCTCAGAATTTTTTAAAAGAAGATTTTATTTTACATAATTTCACATTCACAATAACATTTTATAGTATATTGCCTCTTACTCTGTGGCACACTCCGTTTGATGTTGATGTTGCGTAAAAAATCGATTGTTATGATCGAAGCTTGTTATCAGACGTGTGTCAATAGCCGTAGATTTTATCATAAAATCATCCATGCGCCATGCGAGTGTTAACGAATATAAATTCAATCCCAGACATAAACATGATTTTATTTGAATAAAAAAAAAACAAATAGATGTAAATAAATATGAAAAAAAACAAGTACCCATTACTATCAAATGGACTTATGTTTGACGACAAAAGATTAAAATTTATGTTTGCATTCAATGTGATGCAAGAGCAAGCGACAAAGTGCTCACACTCTTAAGACTTTTCCGTTTGATTATCGCAACTTGAATTGATAATAATAACAACAACGGTGCTTGTTGATATTTAATTGATAGTTATAGAAATTCAATAGAATATCAATGATCGCATTTAATTTCTTTTATTCATTTGAATGTCATTGAAAGTCATAGTCACAGCTAGCAATATGTTGGCACTTTTATTAATCGCAATTTTTTCGTTTATAATTTACCAGTATGTAACATCAAATTTTAATTATTGGCGCAAACGAAAGGTATTTGGTCCAAAACCACTGCCATTTTTTGGAAATTATCCAAAATCGGCTATTCTCCAAGCGAATATCATGTACGAGCAACAACAATTATACGAGTGAGTACAATGTTTTGAAATAAAGCAGTACATAATTCAAGTTGAATAATTGTTCAATTCTTCGCCAAAGAAAATATAAAGGAAAACATCGTTTCATTGGTGTTTTTGAGCGAAACACACCAAAATTGTTGATATTAGACCCTCAATTGGTTGCTGACATTTACGTAAAGCATTTCAAGCATTTTCAAATCAACGATTCATCGAATTCAGTAAGTTCATTGAACAATAGTTTGAATTTGTCTCTGTTTGAATTTGTTCATGGAAACGCATTTTCAGTTTGACAAAGTTCTTGATCCAATTTTCACTCGAAATTTATTTGCTGCCCAATACGATGACTGGCGTAACACAAGAACCGAATTGTCTCCGGCATTTACGCAAAGCAAAGTGAGTATTGAATGAAAATCTTTTTCGCTCACGCAATGTTTAATTAAAATGTTGTTTCTTTTGTGTCTGTAAACGTTGAAAATTTTCAATTAAAATTCAAGCTACGACAAATGTTTTCCATGATTTTGAGCAGTGGTCAAAAGATGATTGAGCACATTGATATGCAGATCGGCAACAACACAAACAAAACCATTGACACAAAAGATGTAAGCAAAACACTTCGTCTATATATATAGAATGAATGGACTTTGTTTCGATGGTGCCTGCAGAGTTGTTGACATTAAAATTTTTGTACTTTTTCGAAATAGTTAACATCACGTTTTACGGCCGATGCCGTCATGAACTGCATTTACGGTTTTGAAGCAAATGATGCCATACACAATAAACTTGTCAAATGGTTTAGGCCATCGTTGGCAAAGAACATTTTAAATGCTTTTCTGTCCACTTTTCCCGTTCTCAGTCGTCTGTATAGGCCGTCATTTTTCCCAGCTCAAATGACAAAATGGTTTTACGATACAACACACGATGCCATTGACTACCGCAAACAAACTCAGTCGAAACGAAGTGATTTTCTGAATTTTCTCTTGGAACGTAAAGAAGTCAAAAATCACACTGACACTGATGTGGCCGCATTCACAGCGATATTTCTATTCGATGCTTTTGAAACGACGAGCATGATTTTGTCACAAGCAATTTATCACATTGCCAAAAATGTACAATGCCAAACAAAATTGCGTGCCGAAATTTTTGAAAATTTTCCAACACATGAGGATTCTCCAACAGCAGATACCATTAATAGAATGCCGTATCTCGAAAACATTGTTAATGGTTTGTTAACTTCTTTAGTTTGGAATTGTACCTCAGAATTATGTTCATTAGAATCGTTAAAATGTGGAATTTTGTTCATTTTTTTAGAAACTATTCGTATCTCGCCTTCAGCTTTTCTGCTCGCCAAAAATTGCACGCAATCCATTGAACTGGATGATTTAGGCGGTACGAAATTACTTGTTGAGCGCGGCACATCCATTCAATTTCCCATTTTTGCATTTCATCACGACGAACGTTTCTATGACGAGCCAAATTCTTTTAAACCCCATCGTTTCGATTCGCAATCGGTGAACGAACTGAAGAAATGTGGTCGCTTCTTACCATTTGGTGATGGTCCAAGAATTTGTTTGGGTAAATCAAATGGATCGCTATATTTAACGACATTCCTATAATCAATCGCTTTTCAATTCGCAGGACAAAAATTCGCAGTATTTCAAATAAAATTAGCTCTGGTTGAAATATTTCGAAACTATTCAGTTGGAGTGAATTCGAAAACAATCGAACCAATAACAGCATGCGCATTAGATTCACTGCTTACACCTATCAGCGAAATTTATTTAGATTTTCAGCGCATCGATTGAAAAAATTGAATCCAAATCAATAATCATTGAGTACTATTTGATTGAAAATTTATCGTTAGTTTATTGAATATGGAGCAGGCATTTCAGTTAGCCCGGTCAAATAGTAATTTTCAAATAATTGAACATGGTGGAGCATAAAACATGCTGTGTGCCTTTTTTCTAAATTTTATCAAATCCATCGTAAATAATATTCCTTTTCATGTCGGTAAAAATACAAGAGACAATAATTTATTTGAAAAAAAAAAATATCCGTAAAATTTCAAATTCGACTTAGTAAAAAATAGTTCCTTCATCTATTATTTTACTTTTTGTAAAATACATTACTTGTGTTTCTGTAAAAAAAATATTTAATTCAATTTGTATATGAATTGCGCTCTCACGTTTTTGTGCAAAAAGAAACTTTTATTCAAATTTATTTGAAATACAATAAACATTTTGTGAATTACGACATAAAAAACGAGTTATGCTTGTACAATTTACAATTATGGTTTATAAATACTAAAATTTATTTGTTCTTATAAATAAATATTCGATTAATTCTCTATAAATATTTGAAAAAGTTTTATATTAATTGTATTTTGCTCATAATAAATTACACCCAAATTAACAAAGCTACATTTTTCATTATAATTAAATAAATACTCTTTTTTTTTTAAATGCAATATGGTATTTCCCTTAAGCATAATATAAAGATTAAAAAGTATATTTGAATATTTATCTTCTAAATGCAATAATTATTTATTGACAATATGTTGTCAAACCAAGTGATCAAAACAACGACCAAAAAATACTGAAGAATATTATAATTATTTGGCCTTTCGGCAGTATGCATCATGGCTCGTATACTTCATATTGAAAGCCATTTTTAAAAAGAGAAACTAAAATAAATATAATATGATGCACACGAGTAGTTTAGCACTGAATTAAAAATTAAAAATATTATATTTAATCAAACAATCCTTAGATTGGTAAATTTCTAAGCGTAGAATCTATATAGGTATAATGAAATACTTCAAATTTACATCACATAATACATCTAAGTACTCAAAACACTAAAAAGAAATCACATTGCCATGCTTTGGTGCTGTTTCTGTTTTACGTCAAATATTTAGAGTTCTATATTTATAGTTTAACAATATATTTATAGTTTTATATATTTTAGTATAAAGTCGTTTTATAGCGACTATTTATAATATTTGTACTTTGATACTTTGTGATTATTTGGTATAGTATAATAATTTGATTTTTTTGTAAACAGGTATTAGAGTATATGTATATGAATGAATCCAACTTTTTACTTCAAGTTATTTAATGTCTATTTAAATGAAAGTATCATAACAATTGAATTTTGGAACAATAAAGTGGTTAATTACACTCAAATTTACGAAGTTACTACTTCAAAAGAATACAATATGATATGTAATTGTCTTGATAATATAAGTATTGTCTAGGGGCTTTTATGTATATGAATATACGAAATATTCACATAATATTCACAATATACACGTCTTATTCATCATATATACGGCATAAATCTCTAGTGAATATTTCGTATTTTCTACTGTATGTTGTGAATATTCACAGTAAGCGACACAGGAACGAAGAAAGTCCGCACTAAAGAGAATGACAAAATATGTATATTTCATATATACAGGAAATATTCACGAAATATTCACGAAATATTCATCAAATTTATGCAATTATACACATTTATTTGTGTATATTCTTTATATACATACAATATTCATTGAATATTCAGCATTATGTTTCAATATTTACTGAAATCGTAGTATTCATTTTAACATAAAAGCCCCTGGAGTATTGTATTAAAAAATTTCTTTTAAAATTTATGTGAATTCAACGTGCATTAAAATAATAAATATCTAAATACGATTCTGATATAAAATGCAATAACAGTTTGTCATTCAATTTGAATGGATAAGTTTGAGAGTCATCAAGTCCTGTGGCATCGGCAGTGCCGATTCGGCACGTCGGTCATCTTTCATGCAACTTGAATCTCCATTGAATTATAATTGTAGTTCTCTAAACACCGCATAAAGTGAATATACTTTGTCTATTATCTAGAAAGGAGATCACAACAATTCATTAGACGAATAAAATTAAAGTTAAACTGTTTTACTTAAACAAATAGATAGCTCTTACCGCTCTGAAAGTTAGAAAATTACAACGAATTGAGCCATAAGCTGCGATGCGAACTTTCTTCTGTGACACAGCCAATATCATGGGCATATACTTCTGGATGTTCATTGGTAGGCGATACCAATCAATCTGATACAACAGATCGGCAATGTCATCAAATCCATTTGTCACTTGCTGTCCCGTGTAGCATATTGCAAACAGCAAGAATACGATGTATAGCAAAGCAAATAAGACTTGCAAAATAAAAGCAGAGCTGCCAGTTTCAACTATCTGAGGAGTTTTTAATAATTTATGTTTTTTGTGAATTCAAAAAGAAATTGTAATTGAATATTACCGTGTTGATTTGAAGAAATAGGGCGCAGAGACTAACAATAACAAACAGAAAATAACCTAAGGCAAGTGGTTGATTGATTGCAGAGAAGCTTTTGACGAACCTACATAATAATTAAATATTAATTTTCTGGTATTTAATAAATAAATACTATTTATTATCAAAAATATCACACTCAACTCCCTCGCTTCCGAATAAAAGTCGACGAATTCTACAAGTTTTTGCGTCATTTGAATTTGCACACGTGTTCTCCTTTGTCGGTTTAATTTTTTCATTGAAGCTAAACCATCGCCAATTTCACGTACGCATTCTTTGAGATCAGAAGTGAGATCTATCGATAGCATACAGTATCCGACGCTCGAAATAAATATCATCGCCATTAAAGAACCTATTATAAATGTTGTTGTCTGTATAATTATGACTGCCAAATACCCAATTGGTGTTCGCCAGTTAAATGGATACCTTGGAAGAATGAAATTAGCCGTAACAATTTTCCAAGTGGTACACAATTTCAAAATTTACTTACGTTGCGGGATACACTTGTACAAATGATTCATTGTTGTAGCCCAACGAAATATACCAGAAACATGACAAACCAACAGGTACGATCATAAATATCGGTGTAACTATCTTAAATGTCAATTTAAAAAAGAATTTGGTCGCCACGTCAATTCTTCGTAGAGATTTTTCATAAATTATTTTCTTAACCGGGTCCAGATTTCCTAATAAAATAGTATTGAAAGTCATTAGAAATACTACAAACTGGTTCACAAGCATGAAAATCTGGGTATTATAAACATGTGCAAAACGTGTTCTTTAATTATGAAGATTTTTTGCATTTTTCCCAAAAAAATCATACATTGAAATTTCATTCAATCTTATCACAGCACATGAAAAATTTGGACCAAATATTACTATTTGATTGCTGCGCAAACCGTTTCCAAGAATAATCATTTTATAAAAAGTTCTACAAAACCTAACTTTAGTACAATTCTGTCTCCAAGTATATGCAAGCACACGTTTTAAAAATTAAATGCACGCAACGTACACGTTTTGCTCATGTTTATAGGACGAACTTTTTTTAATTACAACTTTTATGTCGGGATGTCTGAGACCTAAGTTAAACATAGACAGACATGTTAAAATGCAAAAACATCAGAGACCTATTCGTTTTCGCATGAATCATTTTTTTCTTAATTTATTTCACTACTATCTTAATAAAAAAAATACAAATTATAAAAATTAAAAAAAAAATGGATCCTTAGTGATCATACATTAATTTGTATTACTCAATAAAAAAATTACACACTTTTTTCGATAATTGAGCTGATTTCCTCTCCCAGGTTGTAGTATTTACTTTTCCAAGTGAAAACTGAATACGAAAACAACACAAAAGCAAAAGCTCCAAAAAAATAAATGGATCGAACATATTCACTATTAGTACGAGCCTCGAATAAAAAAAACCAAAATGTCGTAATAAAGGAAAAAATTAAATGCACATAATAATAACAAATTAAACCGATACTTAAAAATTTTTCTTTACGACTCTCATCTCTTGGTAAAATTCGCACCCACAACAAAATTTCTCTTAGCTCTCTGAATAACTTCATCTTTCACAAATATTGAAGAAACGACAATTTTTTACAACCAACGGTTTTCGCAGTCTCGAAGATACTGATTTGGTTTTATGTTTGTCACAAGCTTCATTTGTTATTGCGTTTGATAGTAATGCAATAGTGACGTGTAACATATGCACTGATTCCTGTTTGATGTGTCGATTGATTCTTGGTTTGTTGGTATTCTCGTGGTTTCGTTTTCTGTAAGTTGTATTGCAACGGCTACGTTGCATGCAAATACTATGACCGACTTTAGTAGGAAATTTTGATACTTTTCAAGCACACGCGCTTCTTATCAAAGCTCCCTTCTTCTGTATTTTACGTTTAAACTTTGAATGTATTAATCTTTTTTATCCACACGCCTGTATAATAGTAAATTATCTTTAGAATCCGATACATGAGTCTTCCATCATCAGAACAAATAATACAGCTGTAGTTTGAACGTATTAGTTGTTACAACTCATTAGTATCTAGTATACGTGCAAGTGCACTCTATCGCCACGTACTTTCTGTTTGAACAAAAGGATTTATTTCAATTCAATGTCATTACAGATATTTCTAGATATACGACTGTGCTTTTTGATTGCATGACACACGTAAACATATTAACATAAATGCATTTAAAGAAAAATTAGCTCGTAATTAATTCACATTGATGATTTGTTCTCTCAAAAATCAATGGAGGCTAAATCATAAATGTAGCTTTTATTGAACCATACTAATTTGAAGATGATCCATAAAATTAAGATTGAAATGAAAAATTCCGATTGTTATCAAAAATGTAATTCGTATGTCTAATCCATGTTTCATATGAATATTGACCTATTGAATATTTTCACTTTCCGGAGCACTCTACTATGTGATATGTCTATCTATTCTCTTCTTTGATCTATTGTCCATTCATTTTACCATATACATATATATACATCATGTGACAGGTGATGTGGAATTTGATTGGCTTCTGTATATCAAATAGCTATAAGATTAAATTCAAATTCAGAAAACTTGAAGACGCTCAAAATTCTACGTATACGACATATCATTAAAAATCAATCAACAGTATTTTGAAAATTGGAGCGAAAATTTATAGTACGCATACAATGTGCACTCCTTTACCTTATGGCTAAGCATTGCAACGAAAGAATTTAAATTTAATGAAATTTAAATTCAATGTCAATCGATTTTTGTCGACCCAAGTTTGATTGCATAAAAGAAATCATTTTTTATAATTTTAAGGAATATCACTTATATTACTTCAATGTTACTTTCAAATTTCATAGCTTGGTTTAGCTTTCACTTGAATTTTTATTATATAAAAGTTAATTCAATTTCTCTGCTATAGTTTATAGGTATTTAATTTTTTGTCTTAATAAATGTATTATTTATTATTTTTTGAGTGCGTTCATTGTTATCAACATTGAGTGCAAGTCACGGCAGATCAATCTTATGATTTCTTTTTTGTCATAGTCATTTCGAAAACTCCTGAAAAAAATAAAAATTAATTTTTCAAAAACATGATTTCAATCTATAAAGCAACTTACGCGTCATTAAAATTTTCTTTCAATCGATTTTTCATACCATAAATGAAATCTTTATCCCTGAATAAAGTGATAAGAGAAACAATAACAATTTTCCGTGGAACGTGTTTGAAACGTATATATACACTTACTTCGCAAAACTCTTATACTTTTTTACAACTTTTCCAAAGGCTTTATTCATTTTATTTATCTCTACAATTATGGCTTTTAGATCTCTGCAAATGAAATAGATAAACATAGTCATTGTTTTCAATTAGTAATTCACTTCAAATATGAAATACGGATATGGGGATAAATTATGCTGAATTCCTCTAACAAGAGGTCCATTCCTTATTTGCGATTGAACGGCATCGCTGGGTACGTCAGAACATCTAAAAATAAATCAAATTAATAGAAATTACAATTATCATTATAATAATTGTTCATTATATTTATATCTAACTCTGTTAAAAAGCTCATCCATGGATATTCCATTTGAGAATTTTCAGCATCCAGTATTGGAATTAAAACCTTGGGTTTTTCTATACCATATAAAAATGCTACCCCAGGTGTGACCATTGGGTCGTCTACAAGAAGTATTATTGAAATAATATGTTAGATTTAGATTTAATATACATTCTACTCCATGTTTACCATCATGTTTTCTACAAAAACACGATATTTCAAATCCCGCCATTGTTGTGGATACCTATTTAGAAATAAAAATTATTGGGATTAAATCATCATTTAATGAACGAACAAATGAAGTTACATTACGTTTGACTTACCCATGTGGCAATAAATACACACAATAAAACTACGAATTTCATTTTTTTTTGCAAAGAAGAACAGACTGTGAAGTGAAGACAACTGATACAACATTCACAATCCAATAAAAATATAAGCTCGAAATTTTTATTTAATTCGTCGTCACATCGATTATTCAAACAATCCGTATAAATAATATTATACCGTCTTACAATCTACATTTTATCTCGAACTTCTGTTCAATTCATTTTGATAATTGCGAAAATATCTTCTTACATATTTTTGAGCTCGTCAAAGAAATTGCGTTACTTCATTAATTTTTCAATTCGTACAAACTTCAAAGACGAGTTATTGGTTGACACTAAAAAATAGTTGAAACAACTTCTGTTTGTCGTGCATATTTCTATTTGTATTTATTTAACGAGAGTATGATATCGCAATTTTATCACAAACGCGATTGCGTATTAATCCTTCAAAAATATTCGTGATAAATGAATGACAATACAGCGAGTACCATATAGAATAATAATACGTCCAATTGGATCGCAATGTTTAAAAATTACCGTGCCGCACTTAATACATCGGGTTGATTAAAGAACGGTTTTTAAAATTATAAAAGTCTTGGGTCGATATAAAAACTAACGATTTGGCCCAAAGATGCTTCGACCTACGCATCATTAAAAATCGAATAGTCACACACAAACTCTGAAGAAGTTTTTTTTTTTTCAATCGTATTCTAGTCCAAAATGTGGGAATTGTGTATCTTACATTGTTATGCCTGGCATCAGAAACAGAAATCGATGTGCAGCAAACTTTTTAGTTTTATTTTATATCATGATTAAAATTTGATGTAGGGCTCAATGACAACAAAGTTGTTATTTATTTGTCTCGAATCCGATTCGAAATATCCATTTAAATTTCGAAGTTTCAGGTCTCTGCATCATTCGCAACGATCAAAATTGAAAAATAAAACTGTTATCAACAACAAAAGTCGGAATAAAATGATGCCAAAAGGTCAGTCCATACATAGATTTTGCATTATTATTCCATTATGCTAAGGGTTTCGGATTTATTTTTGTGTTTATGTTTGGTGAATGACCATTTTTGAATACCACCAACTCGGATGACAATTCAAATTTATTGCCCGACAACTCAACCAATTGGACACCGAAGCACGTTTCTCAGATAATAAAGGAAGTAATGCATTTCGAAAAATCAGCTTTTGCATCTCTCACACACACATATACATATATCACATCATGGTATTAAATGAATGCTTTAAGAATCACAAGTAAGTAACGGTGTGGATTCGGAATTACTTTTCAATTCAACGACCGAACTGGTCGAGAAAATATTTTCATTTGGATTCGCAATAAATACATGTATGCATTTAAAATAGCTCTCATGATGGCATCGACATTGTAATTCAATAAATCCCTCTTCTCATTATCGTTTGCACATTTCTTTTTATCGCATCTGTGTTTATGGTAACGGGATTTATTGAAAAAAAAATGAAAGTAAGAGACAGACGAATTTAAGAGCGAAGAAAAAACTTGAATCAAAACATGAAACACAATTTTTGCTGCAATAACAGCAGCAAATACCACAAAAAAGTTCCAGATTCAATGAGCATCAGCATTGATGACAGATATTTTGTGTCTCCCTATTTCACTGTTCCTGTAAAACAGTATCCATCGATGGATGTTCATTTCGAACGAAAAGGTTTACTCTGTTGCAAAGAAGTTTTTGTTTTATTTGCAACATTGACACGTCAATTGAAGTCAAGTTGAAAATAAAACGAAGTAAAATTGAAATCAAGTCTGTTGTTTTGTAATTTCACTTTGTTAATTTGAACGTTTACGATGCGCTCTCAATTTCATGCGAGAGAAAGCGAAACGATTAAAAAAGAATGTGCAGATGGAGCGAGAGAGAGAGGAAATTACTATCCATTGCTGGGTATTGCATAAGTAATAAAACGACGATGGTACACCCATAACGAAATAATCAATTCAGATAGAGATAAATATCAGTGAATTATGGACAACACGGTGAAAATCTTGTATGCGTCGTCGACAACAAATAACAAAAACATCCATTTATTAAAAACGAAATTTCGTGAACTCGTTGAAAATCTAAAATATGCTATCGCATCCAAGTTTTGAACTCAAAATAATAATTCCATTCCATAAATCTCCCACTTCAATGATGATCGGGAGAAGTTTTCGGTGTCTCGGTCTATTTTTCCCGTCTCGCTCTTGTAAATATAAGTGTGAGATAATAAATGGGTGAAAAATCCCATTTATGTGCGAAATAAAGTGAATCCAATATTGAAATTTATTCAGTTCCAATGTGAGATGGACCAAAAGTACATTCGCATTGTCTTGGTTTGGCTTTGGCTTATGTCTGCTGGATGTATCGTTTTATTTGTGGCTACACATTTTTTTCCTCTCTTTAGCTCTCTCTCTCGCTCTCTCTCTCTCTCTCTCTCAACGTAAAATTCACTTGGACTTAGGCAAATACAGAAAGTAATACCGATACATTATCGCACTCGTACCTTCTCCGTGCCGAGTTGCTCTCTCAACATCGCATTTTATTATTGAATAAATCATTTTGAAAGAGAAAGAAAAAAAATAGCATTCTATATACATGACGACAACTGCATTGTAATTCGGATGGTAGCGAGTGTGAGAAAGACGATGTTGAAGCGAAAACGGTCTCATTCAATTTATTTATGAATAATGATATTAAGTATTTATTTTTGAAATTTATTCTTACATTTTGTGAGTGAATGAATGCGTCATTGGTAGGAGGGGGGAATTTTTAAATTGATTCGCTGCCTCGTTCCATTTTCAAATTGCTCTGTCGACCGACCGCAAAAAAGGCCATTATGCCGTCAAATGACACATTCAAGTGAATTGGCTGGGAAAAAAATGAATGTGCCGGCAAACAAAACATAAAATCGAAAAAAAGAATTCTTGCTGTGCGCACCAAGTCCAAACACTTTTCATTTGGTTTTAATGAATCCATTCAAAGTCTATATTTCTTTGCCGACGTACTACGATTTTACAAACCACAAAAAAACCATGCGAATTAATTTCATTTGAAACCATGCAATTTTATAATGTATAAAGTTCAGCATCTCGTTCCAAAGCCAATGTAACCACTACAATGAAAATATCAACTTTTTGCTTCTTTGTGTGAATGAAACTCTGCGTTTGGCAACAAGTGGAGCGAATGATGAGTCTCTTTAAATAACACACTTGTTCTCATCAAACACATTTCTAAATTGCTCTTGATAGAGAGGTAGAACCGAAAAATGATACAGAGAGCTTAGCACGTTCAAAAACCATTAAGAATGTTTCACAAAATCGCCTGCTGTTATGCGCACCATTATTCACAGAACAGAACAATTTTCAAATACTTTGTTTTGAAATTGTTGTTGACCTCAACAGTCTCAGATGTCCCACAAATTTCTGTTCGAACAAGTCGACTTGAGAGAGGTATTCCATCTTCCACAAAGCAACCAATAGTTGCCTTGGATTTGCGGAAAGTTGAATATAAAAGGGAAACCGTATGTGCTTTTCACACAACTTTGTGACACTATATGCTTATAAGTTTTCTTTTCGGCGAAAAATATATAACGATAAAACAATTTTACTTATTCTCTGTGAAATTGTCGGAATGAGAGAGGAACACTCTTTTTCTTTGTATTAATACAACTAATTGTAATTTAAGAGCAGGAACATGTCTGCCAAACAAATTTATGGGAATTGATTTGAGCGGTTGACAAGGGATTGACTCTCTATGGCACATGCCAAGCTATAACTTTTGTTATTCAAATAAGTTTGACACGATGTCAGCGCATCCTCCGAGATAGAGAGCGAGAAAGAGAGAAAATGAAGAAAAAAAACAGGATTCTTGATTGACGATTGCTGATTTTATCAATTTAAATGATAATTGTCATCGCTCCAAGAGACGTACGAAGAAAACGAATAAGAAGCAACCAAAGTTTTGCGATTGTATAGGCTGATGATATCACTGTCGAAAACGATACAAATCGGGCGCGTTAATGGTGTCAAAATTCTTGGTAATAAATTTAAGGCAATAAAAGTGTTGAGATGGTACAGCTGTTTTATGAATCATGATTTATTTGTTTATTTATGATTGTTTTCATTGATTATGCATTTGGTGCATTTTTACCCAAGGTCAGTGCATTCCAATTAAACGTCAATCCATTTGAGCTCGTTGCAAACTCATTCATTAGCACCAATGAACTTATATTGTCGTTTCAAATGGCGAAAATGCGTAAATCATTTAAATAAATATGCAGTTTCATCAAGAAATGGTAAATGAATGCAAGAAGATGAAATAAAGACGAGAAACAAAGATTGATCATGTTCGTGCATTCGATAAAAATCATATCCTTTTTTGGTCAAACTTTTTTTTATTCATCTTCTCTTCTTCAAGCTGAAATGATGATCTCATGTCCAATTAAGTATATTTTGCTTGGCTTTTTACGGTCGATACAAGCAATTTAATAAACGCCACAAATTCACGACATTAGACGAAAATCATAAAGATTTTTGATTGTGGCACAACAAAAAAATAATACAATGGAATTCCATACGACTTATCATATGCACGGAATCAGTGAGTGTGTTTCGTTTTTTTTTCTCCCGATGAAGAATTTATTTCAATAAATATCTGCGAAATTGTATGGCTTAACATTCAAATGAAGTTTTGCTTACGCAAAATTTGGTCAACCGTGATCGTAATCACGTTTTGAAGTTCCTGTTTCGGAATCGTTCGCGTGCTCAACTAATAATTCTCATGTCTCATAACCGGATTTTTAAATCGATTGAAATAATCAATGCAAATTGAATGTAATTTCCATGTAAAGTAGTTTAATTTGAAAATTTCAGTTCGTAGTCCCTTAACGCTTTCGTCGCGATCGAATTTCAGATTGGCGCCAAAAATCACACGTACGCCGGAAGTTTGTAAACAACAGCTTTGGTCTGGCTGCCATGAAATGTATTAGAATAAGACCACCAACTCTTAACAGTACAAAAGTCATGTCTAGGATGTCGTAATTTGTATGCTCTATAAAATTCATTTGAAAGTCTTGTATCTGTCGATTCTTCTCATTTTATTACTCATCGACACGCTCTCCACTAAAATTATTGCAAAAAAAGTCTAATCAAATTGGCTTCTGTGTTCATTAAATGCGAAAAAAATGAATATTGTTTCATTAAATTTCGGACACAGTCTACTTCTGTTCTCTCTTACTAATCTTATAAACACTCACGATCATCTTTATTTCATTCCATATGTTGTTTGTATTTTATCGCTCTTTCATTCGAACTAAACAGAGAATGTGAAAAAAAAAAACTGTTGCCAAATTGATGGCTATCACGACTTAATTCAAATTCTCTAGCATCGTGCGCACGTTCTATACGTTTGATTTGAAAGCAATTTACGTCACAATGGGTGGACGTGAAATACAAAAGACGTTCAACAACTGAAGGAAACCCATATTTGTTTACTCATTTGAAAATATATAATTTATTCTTGATATCTTTTCTCAATAATTATTATTAGATTATTTTGTGGCGTTTTACTTCGCCTTGTTTTTTGTGTTTAAATTTTGTTGCTTCAACATACAATATTCTTATAATAGAAATAAAAAAAAAATCTCTTAAATTACAATAGTGGAATTGTCTCTTTTGTTAAGAGTCATCTCATTGTGCGTGTGTGTGATTGTTTTTAAATAGTTTGCGAGATGATTGAATGGTTAAATTAATGCAAACGATTTCAAATGTATATGTATGTGATTATGTATATAAATTAAATGATTTTCTATATGATAAACATCACAATAAACAAAAGTTTGATTTGAATTTTTCTTTTTTCATTGTGGCAACAAAACACTTTGCCCTTTTTGATACATAATTTGGTCCGAATGTCGACGATACCAGTGTTATCTATTCATTTAATCTGGGTCCTGTGGTGTTCGATCGAATGCCATTTTGAATGAATAATCATATTTAAAATTCGTTAACACTTTTTCTTTGATTTCGAAACATAAAATTTTTTATCCAACAGAACATTTGGTGCTGATATGTTCTATGGCATCAAATCAAATAAAATGAATGCAAAATGGCGCCAAGGTGCTGGTGAAGTCACAAAAAATTCACATCAATATAAATCACGTTCGTTTTGCTCGTTTCAAATGATTATGGAATAATATAAATGTATGTGTGTGATGGATGAGACGAGCAGAAATGCAGTAGCTTTTTTGTGTGTGTCTGTCACATTTATTGTTTACAGTGAATTGGATCCGTATTCAAAGAGATCGTTGTCTTGATCATCATCACATTCGAAGCGTGGACAACAATTTGGATAGATTTGTGTACGATCTCCAGCAATTTCACGACAATTTCGACCAATAGCTTCTTCCGATGCGCATCTGTTGAATAAAGCAAACAAATAAAAAACGAAACATTTAATTAGTGAATGGTTATTTTAAATGATTCTACTAATTGGTTGAAATCAAATTATCTGGAATTTGATTGTGAAGCCAACGAGCAAAAAATCTAGCGAATAAATTACAAATCATAAAATGTGATGCTTACCCAGCTCCACCAAAAGAAAAGTTTGGCAAACAGGTCAATTTCATGCAACCAAGTGGCAAATAAATATCTTGGCCGGGTTGAACAAGTTGCATCGTCACTGGCTCAAAGCATTGGCCTGGGTGTGCTATTTTATGAAGAAAAAAATTATTATTTAAAAAAAATTAAATTAACGATTCAAAATATGAGTATAATCAATGTTGGAATGTCAAAAGAGGGAGAGAGTTGAATTCAACAGAAAAAGATCGTATCAATTCAAAAAAAAATCAACAAACAAACGTCAAAGCAATTTACATAATAATCGTTATGATATTCATTTAATAGTTTAATTTGTTTTTCTTCGAATCGCACCGTTGTTGTAGTGCCCCAATGGGACTTAGTCAAACAAAGAACTATTTTTAATCAATGGCTTCCACTTCTTTAGCTTTCTTTCGTATGCAAATTTTGGGAAATACCATATATGCGTCACGATGCGAAAAACAAACACAAACATTATTTTTCTCTTTTGATATGAATTGATATTTAAGTTCGGTGTGAGTCATGCACACATCACGTTTTGAAAATAGAATGAAATATCGATGAAGAACGTTAATTTACCCGGATGGATGATTGGAGGTGTAATGAATGTCGAACCATAACAGCTATCGATTACAACGATGGCCAAGACACCAATGACTAAGACTGTTTCACTTGTTTTTCCAAACATTTTGTAAGGTTTTTTGCTCTTGTTTTCTTGTCGAACTTTTAAAAAAATATTCCTTCTTTGGAAAACGATTTTTTTTCTTTTATTTTCTTTTTGTGAATCTCACTCAATTTTCACGCAAAACTGTTTTGAATTTTGTTATTTTTTTTAATGTTTATCGAATTTCTCTTCGTTCTTGTTTCGTGAAATAACACACTTTATTGAATAAACTCAACGATTAATTCAGTTGGCTGATTAAGCGGCGAATGAATAAACGTTGCTCGTTGCTTGCGATTTATATACAAATTCTGTGGCAACAATTTGACGACGCACAAACGGGTTTTAAAAAAACGTTGTTTTGTTTACGTTTACAAATGTTTTTTTTTTGCTCTCTTCTCTTCTTCTTTTCGTTGTTTTGATTCCATTGTTGCTACTTTTTTTCCGTCGTTTGGTTTGATCTTCCATCGGTCTGATTGTTTGTGGACCGAACGCGAGCGAGGTGTATGCGACGAGGAAATATATGCGTGTGTATTTGTGTTTTATTCTTTGTTCTCGTTCTCATTATAATTGTTAATGTCTTGTGTTCGCAAAACGGATCAACGATGAAATGATTTGAACACGATTCGGCCATAAATTTATTTGATACTCGATGACGTTGATATCAACAGAGCCACAATTTCGCTTTTGATCAGTTTATGTGATAATCGGATAATAATAAAATTAGTACTGCATCGCATATCCTGACGCCAGAACAGAAACCGTGCACACGAGCCGGTAAGAGAAGAAGAAGAAGAAGAAGAAGATAAAAAACCCAGAGAAAGAGCATATGTTAGTTGTCGCGTGTGAAATTCGCTGGCTTATAAATCTCTTGTGATAAATTGATACTGCATTCCATTGGTTCGCTTTTTGGTTGTGCAGACGAAGAAAAAACAACTGACTACAAGTTAGCTATACACGTATATAGCATAGACGCCATCGATTTCACGTCATTTGCAAATTGTTTTATGAGCGAAAAGAACACGGAACTACAGGAGAGAGACAGCAAGAAAAAAAAACACACATATATATACATATCGCCGCAAAAACAACGTGTCGATGAAAATACACTAATAATTATCTTTTACAGGCACATCCATGCGAATGGCGTCCTATGATTGAGCGATTGTGTCAACAAAAATAGCCAAATCCCACGAAATTCAGCACATATTTTGTTTTTAATCCGTAAATCCGCCGGCATTTCATTTCTAAATGTGGCTCCAGACTGTTTTTGGCATTTGACGTATCAAAGCATAGATCAACAAAATTAACCCATAAAAAAATATGTACACAACTGCGCGGAATTTGATTGATGTTTTTGTCGTTTGAGTGATGTTTGATTTTTTTAACGACCTTGTTACCAAAGACGACCTTGCGCTTCGCTAAGAATTCTATTTCATGCGCATAAAGCCTTTTCTCAGCGTTCTGACAGCAACTCTTTTTTCATCACTTTTGGTAATGAAACAAGCATTTACCATGTGTCGAAAGGATGAAGTTTTCTTTCAAAAAAAAGGTTTAAATGTCATGGAACACAAAAAAGCGCGTCTATTTGGTGTTTAAGCCAGGATTAATGACGTAAATTGAATTGGAGATAGAAGAAATGAAGAGAGTGAAAAATGTGTATGTTTTGATCATTTCGCTGAAATGTTTTTCACAATTTTGCTTTGATCTCTTTGTGAACATTTAAATTTTTTTGCATTGGTGGTGCTTATCTTATGGTCAACACTGTTCATCATTTTAAATTTATTTTTTATGTTTGCAATTAATTAGTTCGGTGAGCGTCAGATAGTCGCAAAAAAACGTAGTTTACATTTGATGGCATTAGTTTTGCACATCTGCCTCCCTCTAACCGGTTCAATCGAATTTCTATTTGATTATATTTTTGTTTTGATAACATTTGTTTTTCATGTTGACTCGGCATTTGTCGCAATATTATAAAACAACATTTTTTCATCTTACGAAAGCGAAACCACAATGATTGATCAATGTTGATGTAACTTTAAACTATGTGTTAATTATGGGATGGTGAAAAAGATGAAGAAGTTTCAACGCTCGATGTGTTTATGTGTGTGAGCGCATTGACGTTGTTGATCAAAAATTCAAATTGGACGAAAGCGATAAAACAAAAATCGAATCAACAAAATCTATCAGGTTCTATTTGGCTTGATGAAGTGTATATAAACTTGATTGTTGAGCACAAATCAGGTGAGTTTATTGAAATCGATGGACTTTGAAAATTGATTTGAATATACCGAATAAGACGCATATCGCGTCTGTCTGATAAGGCTGCAAAGTTTAACTATTTCTTTCTTTCCTTTTTTTGTTTCTTTTGATGCGGGCAGCATGCTGTGTAGAGTGGCCCAAATAATTTGGCGAAATAGTTATATTTAACTATATGTTGAAAATTGACTCATGCAAAAACAAAACAAAACAACATTCCATTTGGCCAGCATTCTTTTGGCGCGTCATGTCTCAATTTTGTGGGCAATGGTTTTTATGCAAATCATTCGAATAGATAAATGTCACGACACAAATATATTGATAAAACGAATAAGTAAAAATCAAAACAAATCTAGTACAACAACCTCAACTGCGATCCATGTTTTTGCATTTGTTATTATCAGCGATACGATCTATCGATGTGTGGCGTCGGTATCTTTTCATCTTCAATTTTTCCATAAACGGATATAAATTCCGTTTGTATCAAGCACGAAAGAATACGCCGATCCATATGAAGTGAGATGCGTCGAGATAAAACTTATTATTATGATGTGCAAGTATTTGAGCGAATGATTTGTGATTTTAGCAAAACATAGAGAACACACACAACCACACATATGAAAAAAAGTTGTTCAATTTCGGCAAAAGTTCGTAAATTGATAAGAAGAAAACACATTTCATCGAAACAAGCAATATAATTTGAATAATAAAATGGTATCATTTGAATAAGTTATGTGGAAGAAAAAAACGAGAGTATACGACATTCTTTAAAAAATCCACAAACACCTCGATCCATTAGCGTTCGTACAAGAGCTCGAAAATTGAATTATTCCAAATAAAGTGAAAAAAAAGAGTTGTTTATGTTTGTTTATATTGCAGAATCGGTTGTATTTAATGATTCGTTTTGATTTGCTGAAAATTGACCGAGGGTTACTGTCGCGCCACTGTCAAAAGAGCAGAAAAATCATCAACCGCATTATTAATGGCGAACCCATCCTCGTGACGCGTTAATATCCACACAAAAAAAACGATATAAATTTCGTTTTTTTTTCTTCTTTTGATTGCGATGCACGTAAATGTTGTCCTAACACGCATATTATTTGCATCAATTGGTTATTTTGCTCATCCAACTGTGTTGCAAAATTCCGTGTTATATATTTGATAATGACGAAATGTTGATCAAATCCAGATAACCGATACGCGTTAATTTTATGTGACGTAAAAAGCACGTTCTTCTCCGTTTTATCGATGGAATATTTTTCAACTTTATTCAAATGTGTCTGGCTCCCTCAGCACAAATTATTCCAATATATAACTCATTGCAACCCAAATTTTTTTAATCGTCTCAATAATGACGGTGGTTCGCAGCATGAATTTGCATTCAACGCAGCTGCATCGTTTTTGTTTTCTTCTTGTTATCTCTTTTGCGCACTTTTTCGTCGAATATTTGTGTCGATAATCTTGTAGTTAATCAACCACGTGTTTTATGACTTAAGCTGTTTGGCTATTTTGACTATTTTTGACTTCTTATAGATAAGTATATGATTTATGTGCATTCTTCTTATGACATTACGATTAAACTATTCGTTTCGATGGAATTAAAATAACTTTGCAAACAGAAGCTTCAGATCGTCAATGTTTTGTTGAATTGTGTGTATGTGATTAAAATACCAGGCGATTATCGGCGATCATCATTGGCATCGCAACGTTGCTGAGATTTTTACTGTTTTTGGCTTTCGCCAAAATCTTCATATCCGCTAAAATCCAGTTATGCCGACTATAAAAGAAATTGATTAAATGGAAACCCCGATTGTTCACGGTGCTAAACATTTCTTGTAAATTGAAAGTTTCGATAATCGCAAAAAGATGATTCTTATTACATAAATTTGTGATCTATTAACGAAATGCCCGATCAAAGCAACACCACCGACACCAAGAGAATGCGACAAAATGAAGTGATCGCCCAAAATTGAAATTAACAAATAAAATTTTGATGTGAGAAGATTAGCACATTGGCGCGGACCAACACCAATTTGGATACGAAAAAATACCGAAAACAAAATGGTATGCTTTTGAAGTGTACCGCCAACTTTCTGACGCATAATTAATAATGTAATTGACAATAATAAATGTTTATTTAACAAATTTGGCGAATTAATCACATTCCAATATGTCGCATTTCTTTTGTGCTTCCTTTTTTATGTGTTTGTCTGTGCATTTCATATACTTTCAACACTTCTCTCCAATTCTATGAAGAGCATTATCAAAAATTGATGTGCTTTTTGTTCGGTTGACAGCCAAGATAAGTAACCTTGTGTATTGTCTTTCAACCGATTCGCGAAATCATAAAAATGTTGATATCATTTCATTGTTTGGACGATCCAGTTTTGCCGTTTGGTATGGGCTTGAATGTTAATTTGATACGCTCCGACGCAAAAATGCAAAATACTTGCAAATTATGATCGCGGCCCATAAAACCAGTCATTCAAAAGCAATTTTACAGCGTGTGAGGTGTGTACGAGCACGCGGCATCTCAACAAAAATCCAAACGATCAAATTATAACTCTTCATTTGTCAATACATTTTGATATAGATACAAAGATATTAATAGCTTGAATAAAGTGGCAAGTAAATAATCGAAAACGTATGTATCTGGGGTATATGGTATTATTGGTGGACGGAGACAATAAAAATCCATCGTTGGCATTTATTTGTCACATATTTTTAGAGATTTTTTTTTACGTATTTGGTCACACAAAAGAGAGACCAACCGCATTGCGGCACAAAAGAGAAAATGCCGCCTTTGTTTTCCATCACAAAAATAACACATTGGCCACATTTAACGAATAGATAACGAGTTTAACTAGAAAAAAATCCTAATCCTTATAATAGTTTCTGTTAGAATAAAGGATATTTTTATTAAAGAATTATGCAATATTATGCCCATTTTAGTTTCTTTATACGCAAATTTTATCGATTGGCTATTATTTAAGTTGGCCACCCGACATGGCCAATGTCTGTAGATTTCAGTGTGGTCGAAAATCATTTGCATTTCGATTGTATCGGAATAATTTGTCGCATAGTTGATCTGATTTCATTGGTGGCATTGGTCGATGTTATCGTCACTTTGCTTAGGATATTTATAGATATTCTATCAGCAAGTTTAAGATTTTATCACTTTTTTCCCACCTTGGTTGAGCCGCAGAAATGTGCTTTTGCGAGGTAGAGAAAAAAAGGTGTGTCGGGTCACCTGAAAGAAATTTTATTTCTGTAATATTTTAAACGTTTACATTTTTACCCGTTTTTGAACATGATGGCTCTTGAAGAACCAAACATCGTTAAATTCAAACCAATAAAATGAAAACGTACATACTTAAAAACCACTAAATAAGGATATGAACTGCGATTTTATTTGAAATTCGCTTTAAGAAACAGACGTGTGCTCAATGCTTCAAAGTGTACTAAACTATAAAGTTTAAATAATGGCATCGTTCTCTTTTCTTTGTCTCTCTCCTTCGGCCACAAAAACAAAAGACTTTGTCTCTTGTCCAATGAGTTTGATATCGATTTATTTATCAACATCTAATGAAAAACCACACAATGCGTCATATTTTGAAAAATGATCAATTAATTTTAATATTGTCTTATCGCATGCTTTTTGTGTTCAGCTCTCTGATTGATAATTATGATGTCTGATTTTTTGTTGTCGTTGATTGGCGGCAGCTTGTTTGCTCGAAATAGAATGGAAATGTTTTAATTAAATGGCCAGCCATAACAACAACATAATAATAACGATGTTTTTAAAACCTTAATTTAAAGTTGAATATCCAGCCAATTCAATTCGCAAAAGAACGCAAACGAAATTCGTGGTAAATTAAATTTCGTTTTTATGTACGGTTATTGATTTTTCGTTGAAGTCTCATCATTCGGCTAGAGAGAGAGAGAGAGAGAGAGAGAGAGAGAGAGAGAGAGAGAGAGAGAGAGAGAGAGAGAGAAAAAGAGTGTCGGAATCCAACCTTGAAGCGGCTCAAAAAGATCCGAATTCCATCTGTCGTGCTACCGGTGAACGCAATCACATAAAATATGGTTTTAAAATCCAAAAACCTCACCGCTTCGCAATATTATAAACAATAATTTGTATGGTGAAAAAAAGTAAATAAAAAAAATGTCCAAAACACCAACACATTTTTTGCATATCATTAGAATAACATTTTATTTAAATTTTTATTGACGGATAGTTGACAAAAAAAAACAAGGTGTTTTTTTTCTCTTTTTTTCTCATAACCAACAAAAAAATAGATAGATGGTAAAGAATTATACGATTCCATTGAACTCGATTAAAGAAAAAAAACGTCGATGTTGGTCCAAAGTGTAATCCAAAGAAGTTTCAAAATTCCAATTTTTCAACGTGTGACATTTTTGGTTCCTCTTCTTTCTCCACTCTTAAATCTAATCGTCTTTGCGGTGAGATGTTGTCTTTTTATATGCCAAAAATATTATCAATAATTGAGTATATATTTTATTTTTTCTTCTTTCTCCCTCTCTTTCTCTCGATTTAATATTTATCGAATTTGTACTTCAATTAAAATTAAAACAGTTGATGTTATTTCTATTTTCTTTTCATGCTATTTTTTTATATGGCATTTTTGTTTTAAATAAATTTGAAGCTGCGTAGTGATCGCAATTGATCGATTATTATGTATGTATGTTTCAAACAAAAATTGAAACTAAATGAATTAATCTAATCTTATTGACAATTTTTTTTTGTACAAATATTGTAAAAATGCTAATGCTGATGTCAACATGTTTCATCTAGAATTTTAAAATGATATTTTTAAACTTAAAATCTATCCATAATTCGGTTTAAAATATTAAATTTAAAAAAAAATATATTTTGTTTTTGTTCGTTTGAATCTGAGTTGTATTTACAAATGAGTTTGTCGTCTATTTCTAACTCTGCCAGCACAAGCTTGTTGTGATGCATTTGTTGCTGGATTTTTCGGTTCTAGCAGCTTTAATTGCTCTCGCCGTTGTACTTCGTTCAGTTCGTTGATATACTTAACCAAACGTTCAACACCGCCATATTTTGTGTTCAATACATCGCCCCACGTCATAGCCAAACCATTTGAAAAGATTAAAGTCATTTGATAGAAAAGACTTAGATTGTCACGTGCGTTAACAACGCGGAATCCAATTTTCTTATCGGTATGAAGTAAATCGTGATGTGTTTTTATCAATGCTATATATTGGACTTTTTTTGGGCAATAAAGGCATTGATACCATTGTTGAACGTGTTCGCGTGAATGAACGATTGCATTATTTTCGTCGGTTTGTATTTGACGGCACACATTGCACACATACTTGATGACATCCTTTCCATTGGTATCGAAACGTTTTGGATTTGAACCGTGCACGGCCATATGATGTTGATCATAATCATAACGGCACGGGAAGTGTTGATGACAATAACCACATTTAAATGTTCCCTTTTCGCCTTGTTGTAGCAACGCTTCCAAAATTGCATCATTGAGCAGTGGCAGCGGCTCGATTTTCATATCGGATCGTTGACTTTGTGGATGATTCATAAGGAAATGTGTTTGCAATTGTGGTAAACTTTGTACGCTCGTTGAACAGATTCCACACTGTATTCTATTGCTTGGATATTTTTCGTATTTACCAAATGCAAATTGTTCATCTTTATGGATGTTTTCCATGTGCGTTCGAATCGTTTGGAACGTAACATTTGCCATACACAACAGACATCTCACACGTTGTGTCACACGATAACAAAATCGTTGCGCAGTTACATCACTCTTTGCTTTTTTGTGAACGCTCAACCAATGATTGTAAATTTCGTCAAATGTATTGAATTGAATTTTACAATAATTGCACACGTAAATCAAATCCAATGTGGTTAGATCGACTTTTTCAACTTTTTTCACCGGCGGCAGTGGCTTGAATAGTTTTGGCGGTGGCATCTTTTGTTCGTCGGACAATGGATCGCTGACACGTTTTAGACGCAATGAAATTGGCGGCTGTGATGATGTTGATGTCGATGGTTGCATATCGGGAGGGGATGGAATGTAAGTGGAGAAACGCCGTTTTGGCTGCTGTCTTAAGCTGGCCGGCCGAGGTCGATTCTCTTCAACATTTTCCTTTGGAGGTAGAATTACAAAACGATCACTTCTGCAACAGGGAGTGAGAGAGAGAGAAAACGGGAGAAATAAATACAATATTTTTATCTAGTTAGATTCATTTCAATACATACTCAATGTTACTACGTGAAACGGGATCGAACTTATTTTGAATAACACGATTGGTTGGCTCTTTGGTCGACATCTTGAGATAAGATACAGCCGAATCGTCTTGAGTTGATCTGGCTTTTTTGCCGCTTGTCACTGTTGCCGTTGATGTTGGTTTTGTAAATTTAACTGGTTTTATTTCCAAATGAATGGATTGATTTTTGATCGACTTACCGCCCGATTTTTCAGCATCATCAAAGAGGATGCCTCGAATGTGTTTCACCTATAAAAATTTACAAACACATATGAACCGTTTCATTTGTTGTGACATTAGGCAGAGCGTGAATTAAAAAAAAAGAAAGACTACAAGTTGTGCATTTAAATTTTACGTAGTGTATTAGTGAAACTTTGTCTACAATTTGATTTATAATCATCAATAATGTTTTTTTTTTTTTTCAATTTTATTTCATAAACTCAATACTTCCAAAAAATAGTGTTTCGATTGTCGCTATTTTGTTTTTTGTTTTTGTTTTTTTTTTTGCATTTACTGTATTTAAGTACATTTATTTCGAAAAAGTTGACCAAAATCATATTTTGTAACAAAAAAAGAAAAAAAAAAATCATAAATTCGCTCATGCAATATACTATTTCGTTTGATTGAATTGAGAAATGACATTCGTCGTGGTTAGATATATTTTGATTGCGCCATTTACATCTTCTCTATCTACAAATAAAATAAAATACGGATACGAAATAATAGAATTATGAACAAAATTATAAGGTGCAGATAGTTGAATGAGAATGATGAGTAGTGGTGGTGGCAACAAATTAAAATGATCAAAATAAATTGTGCAAAATTGTGTGGTGCTTAGTGTTTTAAATGTGACTGCATGTGTGTTTTTGTTTGTTTGTTTGACGGCATGGTGAGGCATGAAAGAATCAAATTGAATACTATGATAATGTAACACTTACCCGAGTTGGATCATTTCGACGCCATATGGGCGAGTTGTCAGCTTCGCTCTCAATTCGATCGTAATGGCTTTTAATTTTCATTGGATCGCTTTCACCATGCACGGTGAGCAAATGGTCTTTGACCGTTGTTTTGGTGTCCTGTGTGAATGAGCATAACATGCACTTGAATTTAAACGACAAGCGATGTACACTACTGAGATGTGTTTTCACCAATTGTTGTGTATTGAATACTTTCGAGCAAATATTGCAATTAAATTTGTACGTGACTGATTTTGGTGGTTGTTTAACAGGTGCCACCACTTTGATTGGACGTTCCAATAGGATTGCACGATCTTTTGATGTTGGATGTATATCGGTGATGTGCTTTTCGACGTGAGGCTTAAGGTAATGTATGAAATTACAATTGGGACACTTGAAAATCTTTGATTCGTGATATCGCAAATGATTTAATATTTCAGTGGCCGATGTGTTATTGCTTAGATCTTCGCTACAATGTGGACACATAAATTCTCTTTCCGATGCATGCAACGTTACAATGTGTCCTTGAAGCATGTCCGCTGAACACGTTTGGTATTTACATGATTTGGCTCCGCATACATAACGTTGTGCTTCTGGTACAAATTTACCCAAGCCCGAACCAACATTGAATGCATTTGATGAATTTGAGCTTGCTGCCAAATTTCGCATTTTGTCAAAATGTCGTTCGCTACTGTTCAAACAGGGAACAGGATTTACGGGTGCTTGTTGTTCGGTGCATCCATTTTTAAAATGTCGAATTAAGTTCAATCGAACTTTGTTCGCAAAGTGACATCGGCCGCATTGAATATCTAAATTGCACGAAACAGAAATAAAATGTTATTAAACATTTTCAATCAAATGTGATAAAAAAAACACAATCGTAACTATACCAGCTATACCAGCTCTCATTGAAACTAGATGTTTCATACTCACCTTTTTCAAAGATTTGCCGTTTTGGCAACAAATTGATTTCATCGGGCATGTACGATGTTTTTCCTTCCAGTCTATCACTTGCACGATTTATTATTGTATTATTGAACTCCATCAATACGGCATTTTTCGGGCATACGACAAATAAATCCTTGGCAAAATCATAATTAAGTGGATTTAATGCGATAAAATTGACGTCATTGTTTTTGTGTGTGACTCTGAAGTGACTATTTATTGCTTCTTGCGTTGATGCTGTCATATCGCAATAGAAACAGAAGAATCGATGTTTTAAATGCTCTTTGATATGATCTTTCAGTTCGATTGGCAGCTGATACGATTTTTTACAATGAAAACATGTATAAATAGCATCATCACTTCGATGCTGTGACAAATGCATCAAAAATTCCCTATCATCCGATCGAACCCAAGTACAATTTTCAAAACCGCATCGATACAATTCGTGAATCTCAACGCCAGTATTATTCACAAGTTCGCTAGCCGCTAAATCGACTTCATTTTGTATAATATCATCATGATCCGTTTGTACGACTGGATTGGACGAAACAGTTTCGCTGAATGAATGTGAATTTGAGATTAATTGATCGATATGTTTGATGCCATGTTCGTCGTAAACATTTTTTGTTTGAAATTCGTCCAGTTTTTGTGCTGTATGGAATTTTTCCTTATCGACAAACATTCTTGAATTAATCAATGGATCGGGTGGATCACATGTATTTGATGAATATTCAGATAGAGATGGATTCATATAATTCACTTGGTTTTCACTTAATGTTGGACACACTAAATCATGTTCATTATTCACCTCGCTGCCAAAGTAAGCGATGGACGCTTTATGATGCGAAGTAGACAAACCATTTGGCATACGTACGAATGCGTATGGCAATTTTGTGGGATGTTCGTCACGTAAGTGGACATGCATCGATAAAACATCGGCAAAATTCAATGAACAGTATGCACAATGGGTCAAAATGAAGCCATGCTCTTGTAAATGTTTCGGATCGAGATCACCACCGTTGGTCATTTTTAAAATTCTCGGACACATTGGACATCGGTAAGATGATTTACCACTATGCTTTGTTCGTATATGTCTATTAAAGTCAATCAAATGCATGAACGTTTCGTTACAATCTGAAACACAATTAAAATGACATTATTTTGAATTTTTTTTTCTTGCTTCAAATTTGATAAAACTTACCACTTTCTGAGCACGGCATAATTTTAACACGTTCATTTCGCGCTCGCACTAATTCATTGATTTCGTCCTGTAAACTTATTGTGTCCGTTCCACAAACGTATATGAACATATCTTCTCGATCTTTGTGATAATGTGTAAAATGTGAACTGACATTGTTGCGATCGACCGAACGATAAAAGCAGTACGGACATTGAAAAATGCTCGTCTCATGCTCTTCGAGAATATGTTCGACCAGTGTACCACATGAACCAGGAATTTCTTCACAATAACAACACTCCAGCCAACTTGAGTCATCTTGATTGCTATGATGTTTGCTGTACGACGCTTGATTTGCAAGGAAATCTTCGTGATGTTGCAAATGTTCTAACATTTTTTCTTTATTGGACGTTGTGAATATGCAATCATTTGCCATGCACTTGAAAAGTGCAATCAATGAGCAATCTCTTTTCAATCGATTTTCGGCCATTTCAGTTTTCGTATTAATACATTTTGTCCATGGCTTCAATGGATTATCGCCATAAAATTGGTCCGTACTTTGATTGTCCGTCATAACATTTTCAACTGGATTATTTGTCATCGTCATCACATTTGCTATTTGTGGTGCAATAAAACTAAATGTTGATGTTGACGGTGCTGATATGGGCTCTTCTACCTTACGGAAATTATCACCCGAAAAACGACGAACTCGAATCATTGGTGTGCGCACCGGTTGGGCTTGTTGTGGTTCTTCTGCTGGTAATTTTTGCTTTTCCGGTTGCATTGGTACTGATTGTGGTATAACCGGCGGTGTGTTGACAACTGGCGGTGTTTTTGCAGCTGGTGGTTTTGGAGTTTCGGCAGTTCGTTGAAGTGGTTTATTGAAATTTTCAACATGGTGACTCGTCAAATGGTCGTACTCTCTCATTAATGAGTATTTACCGATTAAAATCTGTTCATCACATTTATGACAATAGCCGTTCCATCGTTCGGTTTGATGTTTTGTACGTAAATGTGTTGCCAATGAATTGGGATTGTTCACCGACAGGAAATCACAGTTACCTGAAAAAAATTGCAAAAATATTATAATTAATAGAGAATTATTTTTACCATCAATTTCAATAACGCTGTTCAAACTCAATTTTATGCATCACATTCGAATGTTTATAATTATCTTGTTGAATTACCTATGTAGCAGTTGAATCGTTGTGAGCCCAAACATTCCGTACATGCAATGTTATCAACACGTTTTTGACCGCTTGCAACGGGTTGAATTGTGATGGGTGGTAATTTGATTGGTGATTTCTCCGTTTTAATGTCTTTGTTCAAATCGATCACTTCGTCTGGTTTTTCCTTTTTCAATGAGGTCAAAAGTGATTTGTCGGGACGTTTCTTTGGTTTAACTCGTTTGTTGACCTTTGGCTTGCGCTTAATTAACATATTCAAATTGTGCAATGTGTTCGATTGTGGAACACCTTCATCTTCTTCGTCGACTTCCTCAGATGAGCAACTTTCCCAATTCGGATCATCGAATTCTTCCAAATCAATTGATTGAATGCCCGATGTGCCACTGGCTTGTGGTTTATTCAATTCAATTTTGCACCCATTTTCAATGACACCACCCTCATGAAGCGGATTTTTTTGTGATGATTCGTTGTCGGTTTGTTGTTTAGCAGTTCCGGATATTTCATCCATATCACGAAAAACCATATCATATCCATCCGGTTCCTGTTTCACGACAGCGATTTTTTCTTGTTGTTTTTTGAATCGTTGAGTCAATCGATCGGCTATTGTGTTACTACTAGTTGATGGTACACTACTCGAATTACTAAATGTGTTCTCTTTAATGAGTTTGAAAGCATCCGAATTGACATCATCATCTTGATTCGATGATGATTTGAAAACATCTTGATTTGCCAATTCTTCGGAAACGGTGATTGTTCCAGTTTCGCTTATTGACGACTGAAGCCGTTGATTCGTTCGAGATTTCGCTTTTCGCAAATTCGGAATCAAAATTATTTTTTCATATTGGTTGTTAACATTTGAATTGATTTCATGTGTGTTACGAATGTGATTTATCAAATTTTCTTCTTGATATTGTGTGTAATTGCATAATTTGCACATGTACACAAAAAGCGTATCACCAAATTCAGTTTTTGGCAAAAGCTTCGGATCCGGATGATTGCATTCGGTTTTATCGGTTTTTGATGTCACTTCTACTCCGCATTTGACACAATTTCGAGTGTATTCGCCGGTATGTCGAATGAAATGGTTTACCCAACTTGAACGATCGGTATTCACATCTTTTTCACAGTAATAACAGTGCGCCAATATTTTGGACTTTTTATGTACGCCCTCTTTGGCCGGACCTTTTCGTAGAAGATCCGAATTTTGCGGCGACATTCGAGCACTAAACACTTCCATGCCTTCATGCATATTGGCGTAATGACTTGATAGATACGGAAATTGTTTTTCACAAATGTGACAAAATTTCGATTTGGTGGTCATTGTTGGATCTGTGTTCTTTCCATCGGCTCTTGGTCGTTTTGCTGCTTTTGAACTATCATTCTTCGGTATTGGTTCTTTTTGTGCTTCATTCGTTAATTCACCTTTGGCGCTCTGATCAATTTGTTCAGCCTTTCGTTTGCCAGATCGTGTTATGCGCTGCATATCGTTATCATTAAGCTGTGTCAGCACAACTGTGCATTGCGATAAATTGGGTATCGATTGATTATCCACATTTTCGGTTGTAGCACTTTTTGGGCCCGGTTTTCTTTTATTAGGCTCTTTAGACGCATTGGACGCATTGGACGCTTTAGACTCTCCATCAGAATCACTTGGATTGATACGGATTGGCTGAAAATTAGCACACAAAAAAACACATTTTTACATTTCATACTTCTGTAATTTGCAATATTAATGTTAAATTACCTGGCAAACGGTACCACGTCGACATAGGATGCGTTTTGCAACTTTAATTCCTTCTGTACTCTCCGATGGAGTACTCTCTTCACAATCAGATGGCCTTGAATCGATTGTTGTATTACGTCGTTGAGAGATTCGTGCCCTTGGTTTATCTGCAAATGGAAAAATTCATATTTTTTGAATTTCAAAACACGAGTTGATTTTTTTATGACAAAGAAGAAACAAAACATACCATTTTCATATTGAGGCTTTTCATCGTTTTTACGATCTGTTGATGGTTTTGGTTTTTCCACACTTTTTGGTGCTTTGACTGGTGAAGTTTCATTACTTTTCTGAGTACATGCTCGTCTTCCAGTTGCGTTCAATACGTCTGGATAATTTTCGCGAATGTCCGCATTCAATCGATCCAATTCGTTGAGATATTGTTTCTTTGTTCGTTTTGGCGTTTTTGTGACGTCATCATTAGACTGATTGGATTTTGGTGTTTTGTTTGTTGCATCACCATCAGCATTACTTGATCCTGGTTGCGTTGAACTAGTTACCGCATCATCATGCGTGTGATCGTCGTCATGTATAAGTTTCTTGATTTCGGCCGCTTTTTGTGGGAATTTCTCCTCAATTAATCTCAAAATATCAATGTCTCCAAAGCTGTCAATCGATTTTTTCTTTGGTTGTTCTGGTTGTGTTTCGGGCGGGTTTTCTGTGGTATTTACTTCGGAATCAGTGTTCATAGTGGTATCAGCATGAATTTGGTTACTTTCACTCGATTTCTTATCAGTTTTCTTCTCCTTCTCTTTCTCCTTCGTTGTTTTCTTGGCATCTGACGATTTACGCTTATCACTTGTCTCTGCGGATTTTCTGCGATTCATGTGTGCATCTGACGAAGATTTATTAACTTTTCCAGTTTTGGTCGATGTCGAAACATTATTTTCAGACGCATCCGATTTACTAATGTCTGAATTTGATCTGCCAAGTTTTGGAATTTTATACTTGTTGACAGGCTGTGGTATAACCTCCCAATTATTACCACGAAATGCTTTGTCGAAAATAGTCTTTTTAACTGAGTTTGGTGTCTTTACTTTTTCACTGTCTTTGCTCGGTGTTGTTTCAGTTTGATTCGGACTGTCGCTTGGAGATTGTGAGCTTTGCTCTTTATTTTGTTCACTGGTCGTTTTTTGAGCTGTTGTACTCGTTACAGAAGCAGCTGCGGTAGCAGCTCTCTTTTTCTCTTCCAATTCGCGTTGCTCGTCTCTGCGACGCTTCCACTCTGCATATGTATCTTTGTGACGATTATCTTGATGCTGACGTTGATGATGATTGCGTGGTTGGTGTTGATGCTGATTCATATTTGGACTTTGTGAATATTGATTCATGCGAGAATGCTGTGGCATTGAATTCGGTCCACAGCCAATGTTTGCATTATAATTATTTGGCCCAGGTCGATGTGGATAATGCGGTAGTTGTTGTTGTTGTTGCTGGTGATGAGGATGAACTTGTGGTGGAACTTGCGGTGGATGAACTTGGGAGTGACCTTGCGGTTGATGTGGTTGTGGATTGAATGGTTCATTGTAAAATGGTCGCTGTGGCGGATACGATTCTGGAGTGTTTACATGGTTCCGATTGAAATTGTTTCCAAACGAATTTTGTATTGGCGGATGATGAATGGGTTGTTGCGTTTGTTGTTGGTTTCCAAATGACATAAATTGCTCAAAACTAACATCAGGTTTTGGCATATTTGCATTCGGGCGATAACGTAAGCGCGGATCTTGTTGTGTTTGCTGTATGTTGACATTTCGTGCATCGCGTGATTCCATCGATTCAATATTTTCAGTTGGATTTGATTCGTCCAACCGTTTTCGCCGCTTGAATTTGTCCGACAATGCAATACGTTCTTCACTACGGACTGGAGTTGGTGATGATATTGGAACTGATGAATTTTGATTTTCTGGTTGGCTTTCGGCTCGACCAAAATTAATTCGGTGAATTTGATGATTTTCCATTCGATCGTCCATTCGCTCATTTTGATGGTTCTCTAATCGATTTTCGATTCTCTCATTTCGATGCATTTCGGTTCGAATATCTATTCGATCAGTTCGATGTAATTGTGCTCGATTATCAAATCGACCATCGGGCCCACGTTGGCCCCCAATATTTTTATCATTCCGAACATTGTTCCAGTCATCGTTTCGAATATCATTCCGAGCAACAGGATGTGCCTCTCTATGCGTCTCGTTACGAACATCATTCCAGTCATCGTTTCGAATATCATTCCGAGCAACAGGATGTGCCACTCTATGCGTCTCGTTACGAACAACATTTTCAACAGGCGCAACACTTCGAAGGTCTTTTCGAACCCCAATTTGTACATTTGAAGTATCATCTCGTGATTCATTCAAGTTATTGATTGGTTCATTATCTTCATTATCGTCAATATCGTCAAACATTTTATCTTTAAGATCTTTCATTATGTTGGCGTGAGTAATAGAATTGGCCTCTTTAATGAATTCCTTAACATTGTTGATATCATCTAATTGTTTTCTTAGTTCTAGTGAACTGTTAGTGCTACCAAATAATTCTTTTGCTTTTCGATTCGCTTCATCGACTTCTTCGTCTTTGATAAAGTTGCGACGCAGATCCAAATCTTCAACCGGATTTGATTGACGATTACCGAATCGGTTTGCCGATGCTGCAAATGGCTTCGTTTCTCTGGTATATTCCGGCTTAATATTACTAATCTGACGAGCGAAACGATTCGCTGGATTTGGATATCGAGTCGATGATGACGTTGGTATTTCATCATAATTATCTCTTCGATTCAATATATCTTGTTGGGTTTGTTTTTTTGAATCTCGTCTATAATCCGACTCCGTTTCTAATTTAATGCCCTTTTTGTTATCATAATTGCGATCTCTATCGTATCGTCTGTCATCTCTGCGATCCGAACGATGGCGATTTTGTGGACTTTTTGATCTTCTTTGATACGGTGAGGTGGCACGACGATAAGACGGGCTACGAGATCGATCGTATCCTCTCTCACGACTTCGGGAACGTCCTTTTCTATCCCTTTCGCGACTGTTACTTCGGCTATACCGAAACCGTTTTTTATCATGTCTCCTATCATAATAACCTGGACTTCTGCTACGACTTCTGCTACGACTTCTGCTTCGGCTTCGACTTCGTCCACGGTATTTTCGATCATTGAATCGCTTGTAATCATCATATTTATCACGACGCCATGGATCACTGCGACGCGCATCGTTCGATGTACCCGGCAACGAATCATAATAATAGCTATTACTATCGCGCCTTTCAGTTGGAATCGTTATCGGTTCAGTTTCATTTTTAAAATCAGAATACATGGGCGGACTTTCTGGCGATTGAAAGTTATTTTCCATTTTCACTGAATTTTCTGATTCAATTTTCTCTGGTTTAATGTGAGATGAAGTTATACGGGAGGTTATTTGATTTTTTATACCTTTCAAACCGTTTTCTATCTTTTGCAAGAAATTAACGTTATATTTGCTAAATGGAAAAGGAACAAAAAAAAAACAATGTTTGGCATTCAATTATTTGAGATTTCAAAGTGCATAAAAAAAAACAAATTCTTTCAATGAAATTTTCAATAAGACAACATTCCAATACAAGTTCTATTAATACATTATGGTTTAGTATGAAGCACTTCAGTCTACCTTTGGAAGCCATTTTTTAGTATATTAAGCAGATATGTAGCTTTTTGGTATTTGCTCGCATACTCGTGGTTGTCCTTCGCTTGTATTTTGGTAATTTCCGAAAATTTTTCCAAAAACGGAATGTCTTTTGTCAGCTGTTCGTATTTCAATTTCGCTTCTTCCATCTCGCTACGTATGTGGCTGACGCGTCTGTTAAATGGAGAGGAAAAACATGAAGAAATTCAATGAAAACAATAAAATACACAAATCACTGTTGCATAGAATAGGCACGCAAATTTAAACGGGCAGAGGCAAAAGAAAGCGCAAAACAACCAACAAACATCTATGGAAATGGACACCATTAGCTAATTTTTTTTCATAGAAAAATTCGAATATTAGCATGTAAAATAAGATCGTATTATCAAAAAAATACAAAAAAATTGGCAAAACTAGCGTTGATGTCTGTCTCCCAGGTTTTCATAGAGCAATTTTTTTTTTCTATAAAACACACACGATATGTGACCATGAAATAGTCTTTATACATTGCATAGCATTCATACACCATTCACTTTCCACCGTGCACAGTATGCAAACTCGAAAAGAATCAAAACATTACAATATTCATACATTGTACGTGTATACATATTTCAATGAAACAAATTCATTGAAATTTTAATGCCGGACTCAATAAAACTTATGCTGAAAATACCAAAAATTTGAATGAAAAAAAAAATGAATGAACGAACACTTTGTTTATATTTTTGCTTATTGAACTAATAAAATAAATATTTATTGAAATAATGTGCAATATATTCAACAAACGTACGTATGCGTCGTTGTTCATGCAATCCATTTTTGTTACGACAATCAGAACATTAACATTTTCACACTTCCGTTGCACTTATATTACCACTAAGTAAGCCCAAATAAAATGTAAACACAATACAAGAAAAGACGAGACACGATTGCATATTAAAAACAAAATCATGTGCTAAGAAAATAAAATCAAACCATTTGTATGATGAGTGTGTGTGCAAAACAAGCTACAGCAAATAACAATTTAAAAAAAAACGCTAGAAATTGATCCAATTTTCATACAATGGTGGCCATTATGTGAGAGGATGGATTTTTTTTCAATTCGCACAATTTTGGTGTTTCAATCAATTTTCCTCTCTCACACTTTTGTTGATTTTTCTTCGTCCTAAAGCATTTCCACTTTTAATTGATACAATTGCTTTCATTTAATTTTTATACAATTTTTCAACCAAATATTGAGATGAACCAAAATAAGAACAATTACAATATTTTTCGTTTAAACAAAAAAATCGATTTTAGTCTTGAATCGAATTGTTGTTTCAGTGGTATGCTCTCCGTTCAGCATTCATCTGTCATTCAAACCAAAATCGTACTAACATAGAAATGTGTGTATATGTCAGAGCGACACAGCAAACCGGGCTCTGTTCATATGTACGCATTTGTTGTCAAACGCTTCATTTGGTGAGTGAGTGAGTGAGAGTGTATTGTTGCACGTTCTGAGTTGATCGGTTACCGCGTGATAGTCTTATGGCTATTCATCCGTCTCTTTCGTTTTCATTTGATGCTATGGTTCTGCTCCGTTTCGGTAGATGGTGTTCGTTATGCATTCGTGTAAAAGCACGCGTTCACATTGTTATTAAATTCAGTCTACGTTTAATCTTGTACATTACGCAGTACCTTATTATATAGTATCGTATTAATTTTCATTTTTTGTTTGTTTACTCTTACATCACACCACTTTTTAAATACTATATTTTCAAACTTTATTTGCAATATAAAAGCAAGATAATCTCATTTACTATTTTGTATTTGTAGGCAAATGGAACCACTTTATTGGCTTTGATCATACCATATATTGCGGCCGACAACGTAAAAAAAGTATCGCGCATTTTATATTCAGCCATTTGGACTGTTATCAGTGAAATGTGCTTCTGAATATGTGTTTTAATTCTAATCGAATATGAAATGTCAAAATGTCTTTGAAATAAATTTACTGTAATTTACATACAACAACAATAAAATTGCTGTTTATGTAAGTTCGACGGTAGATTTGACCACATATTTCTCTCGCTTTTTTGACCACTTAATAATATCTCTTATTCCTATTTTATACAACCAGATGCTACTATTCAATCGACCAGACTTTAAACAACCAATGATATTTTTAGAAATAAATATATATAACCATACAGTGCATTTTCTCATGAATCAGCAAAATTTCGGAAAAAAATGCAAACGACGTCTTTTTTTCATTCACATAGATGCAACGCGCGACAAAAATAATTGTCTCCAAAAAATATATACTTTTACTAAATGCGACACTTGAACACCTTTCTACATGAATGAGTTTAAAAAGAATGGTACTTGTGTGTTGAAATGGCAATGCTTCAAAGTATATGATTTTTTTTACTTTGAAGGAACGAAATCTATCACTGCGATGCGTAGCGCTCCTCAAAAACATTATAACCCTTTGCATTCTTAATTGTATGATGGAAAAAGTACAGGTTCACACACTTTTAAAATAACTGTGATTAGCACTGCACGTTTTTAAATGTATGTGTACATAATACGGTAAATTGAATGTATCCGTTTCTCTCTTTGATTTGTATTATTTGCTACGATGCATAAAAATATATTGTAATAAGAGTAAAACTATGGTGAAACTATCTGAAGCTCTAAAATACTAATACTGTTATGTGACAACTCCGAAGGAACGGGACTTTGGTATTTTAAAAAAAACTTCATTGCTCTGAAATATCTCTTTGGCTTAACGACTAACTTATAACATCAACCGGAATAATTTTAAAAATATTATATTATTGACTGATGTTGAAATAATCTGGTGTTCACCTCCCTTCCTGAAGTTCCGTTTCTAAAATCGTCTTTGAAACCATCGCTGTATGGCAAATCCAAAAGTCTTCAATCAGAGATATTACAATGAATAGACGCAGTTGCTCTTCTCAGAAAGATTTTCTTCTTATAAGTGATGATGTCGTCAAAACTCTTTTAAATTGGATGCTGACTGATGTTTTTTTTTGGAATGATGTCATCTTTTGAATAATTTGTTTATTTCTCACATTTCTTTGCTCAGTTAGCACAGCTGCACACCTTGGAACCGCATTTTCAGATCACTTGGAACGTGGACTCAATACGTGATTTTTTTAATAAAGCTGCTGTTGTTGTTGTTGCCATTCGAAGTAAATATTTATTTACTCTCATTTTTATTGGACTTCGCTCAAATCGGCCATATTGGATTCTTTTCATTTAACTGCTCCGTTCATTCAATTTTTTTAAGCCAAATTACATTTCAATTTCAAAACACTCGAAATTATCATCGAATCATAAAATCAACCAATTTAATGTTGCTTTATTCAAATAATTCTTAGTTATTTGAATTCATGCTAAAATCATGTCCGAAGGTAACCCTAGTATTACCAAAGCAATTTTAGTATTACCACTTTACGCCACGACCGATGCCACATCATCACTACACTATGGTAACACCATGAAAGTGCTTACGCCATCGTGTTATTTTTAGCCCTTTGCTTGTTTCGCAACATGTTTTAATTCGTTCGACGAATTTATTCATGAGGCAAAATGCAAAAAAAAAATCACATGAACAATAGCCTTGATAAAGATTCATACACAGAATCGAAACGTCGGCCATGTTTTTCGAATCAAATATTGCTTTACACCTAAAAACCGTTTTTGGCATTTGTTCAAATTATTTTACGTTTTCATATCACAATTCATTTACTTTGAACTAATTCCAATGTTTTAATAAATTCAGTTACATTTTAGATAGCTAATCGTTGAGTTTTCTTGTTAATTCCCCCTTTAACAGCTTTAATTTGTGAAAAAATAAAAACACTTTTCTTTCTCTCTCTCTCTCTCTCTCTCTCTCTCTCAGTAGGCACGTTAGATTTTGAGATTTCTCTGGCATCGACCAAAAAAATTGTTCCCAGAGAGAAACAGAATCCGACAAGCCTATCTCTCACTCTCTCTCTTTCCCGACCAAATGATTGTTGGATGATTTTTTTTTATATTTTCTAATTAAATTTCCTGTTTCTAGGATATTTTTCATAATAAAAAAAAATCGTTCAATTTTGTTCTGATATCAAATAAATATCAAATAATTAAACAAAGGTAAACAAAATGGCGTCGTTAAACTTTTTTTTATATAAGTTTTGGCCCAATTGTACGTTTACGCTGTTGTAGCCTTTCTCTTCGCCCATAATTAATGTTGCGTTAAAATATTCATTATCCTAAATTTCAATTCAGTTTTTTAGAAATATCCAATCAGAGTTTACTCACAATTTCAAAAAGTAGCACAAAAGTCTTTAAAGTTCAACTAAAGAACTTTGTCTTTGTATTTTTCCTTTTATTTTTTTGGAGCCTGATTCTTACGCTCCGTTCCTCTTAGTGGTTTGAATGTTACTGATCTTTGTTTGCGAGTGCTTTTTTTTCATACGCAGCGAAGTATAAATTGCTAACTTCGCGCGAATTCGTAAAGTGATCCCAGACTCTTGTGTGCGGGTAAATGTGTCATTGAACAAAGTTGCTATTACACGAATCACGAATGTGACCCGTGTCCAGTTAATTTTCAATAGGTGTCGCTTATTGTCGATTTTAATGTTTACTTTTGTAAAATCTTTATCATATGAATGTAAAGTGTGATGATTTCTAATTCGAAAAAATAAAATAAAAATATTTTTCTAAGATATTTGCTTAAAATTTGTTGTAGTTAATTCAAACTGGCATTTATTATGATTGAGCTTGCATTTGATGGTCATATATCAGTTTAATTTATCTATGGTGTATACATTTTACAAAACTCTTTTCAATCTGCGTTTAACAATAATGTTTTTTTGGAACTTTGGCGCCAATGTTGTTTTTCCTTTTGTGTGCCTTAAATGAAGTGCATAAATTTGAACACTTTGATTCTCACTGTGATAGCCTACATGGGCACAGTTTGTTTGTCGTTTTTACACAGGGAAAATCGTAAGACATGTGGTAACAATAAATTTTATTGTTATTCAATGACACTTGACACTCGAGTTTTTCGGATTGAATATGTTGGTCATATTCCTTAAGCGTGCGTTGGGTCTTATGAATGCATCTTATGCATATTGGCATGTATTTATGGCAAGCATATAACTTATATCGCTATTTGTAATGTTTACACAGAGAGACCTTATGGCTGTTTGTTTTTTTTCTTCTTTTCTTACTTATCCTTGAAGAATTGTACATATGGTGTGAAGTAACCACACTTGAATCGGATACCTCTTTTTAAAGAAAATGTTTCTCTTATGCATGCAAACAGCATGACATGAACTCAACCAAAAAAAAAAAACAATTCTGTTGAATAGCTGTTTTGATGACCCACAACGCATTTCGAGTGTTTCCATCGTCTATTAATTAATGTATAAGCAAATAAATAAGATAAAATATGAATGTGTTACATTTTTCCGTTTGAATATCAACTATTGTACACAAAACGCTGATATGATTACATTATTCTGCCATGTTGTATACAACACAAATGAAACAAAGCCAAAAACATTTGACAAAAATTATTTTATTTTGTTCCAAAATAAACATATAAACTTCTATTTGTTGCCCGCAATTCTACGATATTGTTAACACTATTTATATACGTAAACAATGACAATGACTATTTTTTGCTATAAAAAATACGAAAATATCAAAAAAAAAAAATGTAAATACGATGAAAATATCAGTCAGATATATAAAGAGATTATTGGCTATCATTATTGGCTGCGAACATTCTATTGAATTTGTCGGTGTGTTCTTCGGTTTTGGTGCGAATAAAATTTTCAAATTGTTCGGTATTATCGAGTATTGCTCCACACACGTTGAATTTGTAGAGAAAAAGACCGCTTCCAAACTAAAATTTTGCGCAGAATACGATTGAATTTTGCAAGACGAATTTCGGAAAAAATTGTGATTTTGTGTTCAGTAAGTTCATGTCCAACAGCGTCTTCAAAACTTGTGCATTTTTCATCACATTCGTAACATATAAATCCATGTCTACACATACAAACAAAGAGTCTGGATCAACAAACGTGTCGCAGCATCCAGTTATCAAGTGATTCGGACGAACACTGTGCGTAAGAATAAGAACATGCAAGCAGCGCCGCGCTCGAATGCATTTGATTTTAATTATAAATTGAAGCGGTGAGAGTTCGAACTAACCAAATTACACTAACAAAATCTACATACACGCTCAGTGTTCGGATTCGGATTGACGCACTTCATTTCAGCGATGAAACTGTCTTCATAGCCAATGTGTTTCGGCAGCTCGTGTCTATCACATACGAAGTCACACATTGGACACTTATTGCTGATGCATTGTTAAAATAAATGGTGTCCGGCATTTCGCTATTTTCACATGGGTGATGGTCTTCAAAATGTTTTTTCATGCCCTCGTACGTGGTGATTACATTCTCACAGTGATATTGCACCAATGCTTCTACATAGTACATGAATGTTTGTTACGGTTGGTGTTCAATCAGCCAGTGTTCATGTATTTCTTTGACTGTTCCTGCGATGAAATGCCGATCATTTTCATAACACCAATAGCTTGAATAAACCATCAATTGATCGTCATTTGATTTTGCCTTGTTTGTGGCATTCAAGTAAAGAAGTAGCGGATCGCCAAGGTTTAGTTCAAACATTGTTGATTCATGTCTCTCGTTGCGATGAGCCAAAAGATTTACTTTGCTGGTGCCTATGAAATCGCACAAAGTGCAAAGAAAACTTTGACGTAATAAAAACTCATTGGTGACCACTTTTTGCGAACGATTGTTTTGATATCAATGAGTTTTGTTGGATGCATGGCTTTGAAGTGTGTGGACACTTCTTCAGCTTGTTTAAATGATTCGTTACAAGCATAACAAACAAATTTATTGGATGTAATCACGATGACAGTCGTCTGTGCTTCGGTTTCTCGGTACAGGTGTTTGTATTTCCAATTATCCTTTTTGTGTTCGGTCACAAGGTGATTAAACATGCCGCTTTCAATATAATATAGGGAATTATGTAAACCAGTTAGTTAATAAAGAAAATGGTTAGTAGAAAATGACAATCGTACGCATCTACATGAGTCTCGAGGTGTGCGTGATCTTCGTGAAAATGAGCTTGTAATTCATCAAAACCGAACAGTTTTACATTACCGATTATGGCGTTGTCGCCATTTCTGTATTCGACGATTCGCTGACTACTATAACTGAAATGAAATTTTTCTAAATACTATTCAAAATAGAAACAAATGTCTTTTATCGAACCTGGTATTGCATCGATTGTGTCTCGTCGTTTGGTTTCCAAACCAAAACGTGATTTCTTCACCGGTAGCTGTTTGTTTTTTCTATAAAACAGTACTTACGTGATTCCATCTTCAAATTTTGACAACGCTAACTCAAACTTTGGTATGAACACATTCTTCAACCACAGGTTTTGATCCATTACTCTGAATAGAACGACCGAATAAAAAACATATAAAATTCCTATTCTTTTTGGTTAATCGAAACACAAGACATTGATGCTTTTGACTACGGCATTCACTAGAGTACCGTTACGTTTAAAAGTGAACAAAAAATCAATGACAAATTCGAGTGCCATCGAATGAACAAAGCACGCAATTGATATTCGATTATTCAAATTGTTTGGCTCATTTTTTAATGCGCTCAAATTGTTCTCAATCCAATAAAATTGCTTGCCTACAGAAAGTCTATCGTTTTTCAATGGTGCATTTTTTTCTTTGAAACGAGAAATGGTTGCAAAAGCAAAATGTTTTCGAAAAATTTTGTTCGCATCAAAATGACTGCTACAACACACCGCATCAAAATGGCGATGCAAAATCGGTTGCACACTATTACACCGTTGTGTGTGTATACAAATGAAGCATCAACTTTTGTATCTCACACAGTAACCCGGCGTCACTCAACAATACTTACATAAATGTTTCTCAGAAATCAGAAATGTCAAGCGTGTTCCAGCCAATACTTGATTTAACCTTTTTGTTCCATCATGAAATTTTCCAAAAAGCAAAAATAAATACACATAAAATGAGTTTAATGTATAATAAGCGTTTATTATTTTTTATTTTCCACGTTTAATATTCATTGTTTTTTATTTGTCTCAAACACAATTCAACATTTATTGTTTTGATATTCAAATTTAAGGCCAAAAAATACTAAATAGGCACTAGAAATGGTGTAAATTAATGGCGTTTTCAAAATTCAATTTGCCAATGCCATTTTTGCAAAATTATCAATAGTTAATAATACTTCATTTGGGTTTCATTTAAAAAATGGTCAAATAAGAATGGTTACAATTCTAGCTTATCTATTATTCAATTTGATTGATCGTTTTAATAAATGTTTATCGTGAAGAAAAATGTTTGGATTGATATATGGTCAGATGTGTTATGGTCTGAACTGCAATTATGGTTCTAAATTTAACCATTTATCTAATGTACGTATACATATATAATTTTCAAATATAAAAAGATCAAAGAGACTGCTAATCCGCTATATTAGGTAATATATTCTTTTTCTCTCGCGCATATTAAAGTCGCATTTTCATCGATTTTATCCCAAACTTTTTTCGTAAAGTTGACGTGTCCAATGGCTTGCAAGCTCACCGTAAATAGTTTGGCATCCTTAAATATAACTTGCAGCTTAGCAAATATAGTTCTAGTCTTCTTTGGACTCCAAAAGTCCGCAACAAAATCCAGTATCGCGTCCATATCTTCATCGTGTGAATTCTGTCGGTGTTCGATAAGAGTGTTTAAATTTTGAAATTTCATGCCACCACAATCATTACACATGAGCCGATTGGATGATGGACATTGCGAGACGTGAAAAATCAAATTCGCAATGTCATCAAAGTGATTATCCGGACAGCATTCAGGTGCAAATGCACAATTGACAGGATCAGTTTTATCCAGTCCCAATTTTCTCAAAGATCTCATATTCAAGATGTCATACGGTGGATGATCTTGTCCATGATTTGAGGATTTGTTATCACAAATGCCGCATTGTTTTGAGTGAATAATGTTGGCTGCCATAAACTTGTTATCGGAATGCATCGATGAATGGTGCATACGCAACCCATTATATGTACTGACTATAATGTCCTGGTTACAATGTGTACATGCGTACAATTTTCGCATTGTATAGCCAGCTCTTTTCTTCTCATCGTTTGCATCAATTTTGTCGATATGCGCATGTATACTGTCGATTGAATCGAAAAGATCCAAACAATGCATGCACTCAAACACAAACATTTGATATTGGTCCTCTGCCATTGGCTGGTAATCGATTATAAATGATTTGATGTTGAATTCAAGTGGTTGTTTGGCATGTTTGCGATTGTGATGGTCCAGTAGTTCTTTCTTTGTGCCCAAATTTTCAGAATCACGAACACAGATAAACAGTTGACTTAATTGGAAATGTTTCTCCTCGATAATGCTTTCGTGTGTAATAGGTTGATTCGGATCATTCGATTCAATTACTGTAAATTCATGAATGATTTTGGCATGCATATAACGATCGGTATGATATGTTTTGTGGTGTCGAACAGTTTGTGATACCGTTTCAAACTCTTGATTTTCACAATCCCGGCATCGGAATTTACATTCAACCAATTTATAGACCAATGTCGATTCACTCTTTTCCTCTTGTAAATAATTGATGGCTTCTTTTCCATGTACTTTAACACGATGTTCGAGAATGTTTTTCGGATCTGAGGTTTTTTGGCCACACAACATTTTTTGACTCTCATCAGCACGATGGTTCATCAAATGGTTCAAAAATGGCGTCATTCCAGTCGCATCGTTTACTAGCTGGAATTGTAAACAATCCTTGCACAGTTGGCTCTTATACGAGTCATTTCTTTTTCGTTTCAATTCGTGCGCTGTGTTGTTACTAATGCATTTGTATGTGATATTGATTTTTTTGAATGGCGAAGGAGTAGAGCTTTGTGTTTGAACCCGTTGTACTTCGACTGGTTTCACATTCAATTGTGGACTTTGATTTGGTAACGGCTTCACTTCAGTCGGTTGGACTGTTTCTTTTGGATTTTGAATGGTAACGTCTTCTTCTTGTTCAAATTCTTGCTGGTTACGATGCAAATTTGATTGTGTATAATTCACATAATCCCTATATGGAACGGCGGAGAAATTTTCTCTTTCGTTGAAATTGATTGGTATTGATGCCGTGAATCGATCCATTGTTGGAATCATAGTTCGTTGTATCTCCAACTGTAGCCGTGCATCCAATACATTCGGATTCATACTATTCAAAATATCGGGATTTGAACATTTATACAGCGAATATGGTTTATGGTCATAGATATCGCCAACATAAACGATTTGAATGTCACACATTGTGTCATTGTCAAGGTTGGTCGATTGACGTGCACCAACAAATAGAAAATGTGATGGATGCATCAATGACATATGCATTTTTATGTCGTTGATGTCATGAAATGCTATTTTCTCCGGATTATTACAAAAAATACATTGAAATTCGGCAATTTCGTGTGATTCGTAGATGTCAGTGTGTTTTATCAAATGGTTTTTAATGTTATCCACTTCACGAGTGTCTACAGTTTGAATACAATGTGGACATTGATATATATTTGCATGGTCTTTACGTACATGTGCGTAAAAACTGTTCCAGCAAGCAAAGTCATATTGACAGCCAACTGAAAAAAAAAATAATGAAATAATAAATGAACAACAATTTTCAAAGAAAAAAATCATCAATTATTACCTTGGCCGCACATGAATTTCTTAATATTTTCGGTACAGTCATTTTCGAGCAAGTCATAATCTTTGTCTTCCATTTCACGTTGTTCGCTGCATAATAAGACGTTGGCATCCTTGTCTTTGTGGAGACGTTCATAATGTAAGACAACGTTGTCTAGTTCATTTGTCCGATAAAAACAGTATGAACACTGGAAAGCACTGAAACGATGACGCTCATTCATATGTTGAAGGAAATATATATCGCTTTTTGAAATTTCACCACAATATGAACAATCTCTGAAGCCAATATATTTATCTCGCAGATTCTTTGTGAAATTTTTTCCCAGTTTTTTTGTGAGCACATCTATCCAATTAATGTGCATTTTCATATGTGCCGTCCACTTATCCTCGTCATCGGTCGCAAAAATGCATCTCTCTTGCATACATTTGTACAATGCAAACTGAGTAAGCAAATTTATTCTCGGCTTTTTAGCATAATCTTCATCTATCCATGGTCGTACACTGACTTTGAATGTGGCCATAATTTCATTATAATTTTTATGAACATTCAACAAATTCTGCTCTTCTTCGGCATCAATTTTCAAATTTAATGTTGCTGGTGATGCTGCATTGCCTGCTTGTGGTTCTTGAGCATCACATTCTTCAATGGGATCAATAATAGGCATTGAAGGGTAATTCTGAATTTGGTGATCTTGTGATTTGTGGGCAAAAGAAGAAAAAAGTGTGTTAATTTGAATTTTTGCTATTGTTCTAACATAATTGGTAAATATTTTATGAAAAATTGTATATATACCGAAACTTGTATTTGCTGGACGAATGATTTGAGTATCCAAAACTCGAATGCCGCTCGTTGATGGCTTGGGTTGTGATATCTGATAATTTTGAACATGACTAGTGCTGAGTCTACGATATGCTGATGTGCTAAATGTGCTACCTTCATTTTGTTTCGGCACGATTTGTACTATTGAATTATTTATAAATTTTGTTTAAAGAAAATGTCTCTTTTGTTAAAAAAAAACACACATTCATTTTATTTACCTTCATCTGGATTAAGTACAAATGGTAGTTTTTTCATCGATGGCATCAGCGATATTTCTCGATAATATTGCTCAATGTTGTCTTTCTTTCCATGTTGCTTTATCACATGATTTCGCATATTTTTTTCGTCAATTTGGATGAAATTGCATTTATTACACATGTGCGCGTACAGACTAGTTTGTCCCAAATTCACTTCATTCTGATTTCGAATCGTTGGCATGCCGCAATGTGTGTAGAAACTGACCGCTTTTTGGCAGAGATAACATTCATTGGTATATTCACCAGTATGGCTATATGAAAAAAAGACCACATGATGAAGCTGGCGTCGCTTTCAAAATAAATCTATTTAATTTACCTGCGAAAATGATCGATCCAATAATGTGGCATAAAATTTCTTTTTTCGCCACAAAATAAACAAAGTGCTTTGATATATTGCACAGATTTCTTAATGTGTTTAACACCACGATTTTCAGCGGTTTTCGCTGCTTCCACCATTTCAGGCGAAATACGTGATATATAAACTTCGAATTGTGGATGGACTGTCTTGAAATGGTGTACCTAAGGGGAGAATCAAGAAAAGAATAAATTTAAAATAATCGACAAATAATCGAAAAATAATCGTAAAACAATCAATAATAATAAGTAAGTAATTTTTAAGTGATTTGCCCCTAGAGTGTACCATTCGCTTTAAGTATTTTCCACAAATTGGGCAGCAACGCGAGACATTTCCGCTCAAATAAAAAGACTTGTCCACATTTTTTGGTACTTCAGAAGAACTGCTGCTGTGGTACCGACCTCGACTCAAATCTAAAAAAATGATGATTCAATATTTATTTGAGGCACAAGAATAAAATTGGAGTAAATGAGATTTACTTGTATGATTTGAGCTTCGATGTTGTGACGTTGTATTTGATGAATGATGATGGTGTGATTTCTGTGCCGAATTTGACGACGAGGCTCCACTTTGATAGGACGTTGAAGCATCTATTAATACAATGTTAACATATGTAATGTTTGTCTCACACTTTGCAAATCAAATTTTAAGTAATTTTTGAGAACCTACCTGATTTTTGTGCATGCTTTTGCTTCGGCTCAATCGTGGATATATTAGATTCAACTGATGCAGTGCTGGCTGTATCAGATGTCGTATCACTTTCATAATCAACAAGCTTTGGCATACCATTGAGCTCCCTTTTATAACTGCCCGATGTGACTGTGCTTGTTCGACGTTCATGGCTTATTCTGCGTTTCTTTTCATCGGAACGATGCCCATTGTCATTGGAACGACGTTTCGTACGGATTTCCGCTTTTCGTTTGTAATATTTCACTAAGCTTTTTAACTCACCAAATTCATCCTTCATTTTTTGATATTCATCCAACATTTCTTTTTTACATTTATCCATCATTTCATCCTTAAATTCCTTCATTTTCTCCTCGACCAAATTCTTGATATTTCCCGCTGTATTTTTATTGGACTCAGACTGATTGTAAATCGATGAAAATGCGCCTTTCATGTTCGGTATTTTCATATAACTGTCAGTCGAATCAGCATGATTGTTGTTGTTGTTGTTGTTGTTGTAATTCGAGTTTTCATACATTTCAATGTTTGATTCATGTGGCGTTTGTGGTGAAGGCAAATTTTGCGATGATTCTTGTACTACGAACGAATAATTATTTGTTGAATTTGCAAGTGGAAAGTAGTCCATTTGATTTTGTTGAAAGAAATGTTTACGCTCTTTCATTTTATCCGTTGTTATTTTATTCGTCTTTGTATCTTGTACCTTTGGCGATGGATTGTTCGAATTTTGATAATGTAGACCAGATAGTGCCAAATCTAAATCGATATCATCATAGTCCAACGGCGAAGGATCTCTCGACGATCCAATGCCACTAGATGCATGGCTAATTGATTGACATCCTGGTGATTTGAAGCCTGGCGATGCATACGGTTCATTATCAGCAATCGCTTCTTCCTGATTTTCAATGTTTCCTTGTGCAGGATCATCCTCTTCATCACACTCCTCTGTTTGTGTTACCAATTCTTCCCTTTTTACGTCGAGAAAGCTTAAGTTTTGAGACATTTTATATTTTTCCCTGTCGTCGTCATCCTCATCACTGAGTTCAATTACTTCTGGATGGATAAAGGGTGGCGGTTTCGGACGATTATCGTCTCGACGTTTGAATCCCTCTGGGATATGATTTGAATTCATCTTGGTCTTCTAAAAAATGCACACACATACAATTTTTTTTTTTTCAGCAAAAACTTACTACAAAACACTACAAAAAGTAACAAAAAAAATTCAAAAACTAACAAGTAATCGAAAAGCAACAACAACGACCACACTTTTATTTTGCTTAAAACGTATCGACAATTTTTCGGACAATGTTAGTCGTTTCAGTGCTTCGACTATACTGAAACGTTTGTGAACAAATGGCATGCAACGAAGCTTATAATGTGACGAAACCTTTTTCTCTTCTCCTTCTACTTCTATTCTTAGTACCACATTCACAGTCGCTGTGCGACACATTCTTATGAAGCTGTATAAATGTGCCTGTGTATTGGAATGACCTTTTTCCTATCGCTTTCATGTCGGAGGCAAAATTGTTCGGAATGGTTAATATATCGAAAATTTTATACTATTGTTTGAAGCAAAATTGAGATCACGAAAAATATACGAACATTTGGTGTCTAGTTTGGTGTGTGGCCAGAAATTTGATACGAATTAATTATTTGTTTCATATAAATTTACATAAAAAAATTCATTTCGCCATTACCCTAATTTTTTTCAAAATATTTATTACTTATAAATTCTATTTATTATTCTACATTTAAGGTTGTATGAACGACTGGCATATTTTATCGTTTAGCATTACACAAATTAAATGATATACTTCATAAAACGTCTACCATTAAGCGAAAAATTTGCTGAGCTGTATTTTTTTTATTATTATTATTATAAAATGCGAGCTTCGCAACCTGCCTTTATTTGTTACGTGATCCTATATATTTTTTTTGATTATCGTTTTTAAGCAGAACTGCGTAAAAAAGTTACATTTGTTTGTTATTCGTTGTATCATATTGAGAGAATGGAGTGTGGCTATATTTAGAAATGATTTCAGCCGTGACGCATTTAGCGAATAAAAAATCGTGCCCGCACACAAGAGCATAAATCTGAATAAATATGTGTGCGTCAGCAACATTTCTTTTTTTGTGACGTAGAACATTCGAGAAATCAATAAATTTGTGCGCAGTAAAAAATGTAAAACACATCAAAGATGCCCTCAAATAAATGAAAAAAAAATCAATATTTTTCAATTACCTGAAGTTATAACTGAGTAGCCCAATAAATGAACAAACAATGAAAAAAACGCGAACAATACGAATAATTATAGTTTCATTCTGCGCGTATATGATTTCACCATACAAAATACGAATTAAAAGTATAAAGCGATTACTGTAAATGTAAAGTCGTATCAAGTGTGTGTAGCTTTTGAGTCACAGTTACTGCGTATATACAACCAGTTTCAATACTTGAATATATTATCGTTGTTGCTTTCCAATCACAATACTCACCGCAGCATGAGTTAAACAAAACCGCTGCCTTGTAAATGTGGCCACTGACGTAAATCTTAATAATTTGATGTGTTAGTATTGGTTAGTATTGTTAATACTTACAATTATATTCTGGAACATGCATAGAAGACTTGATTGCCTTTGTAATGAATTTTAATTCATTGTTTGCGTGACCATTGGAAACACCTTTGTGTTCCAGATTGACGCAATTTTAAAAATTGCAAAAAAATTTAACAACACATGAACAGATAGGCCGTTCATTAATTATAAATTTGCTAATAGAAAATTCCAGCGGTGACTACGCGTCACACGGAACAATTTCAATTTGGCAAATAAATATAATTTTCACTTTAAAAAAAATTTAATTATTTTTTTTTTTCAACTCGCTCAAAATGAAGAATTTTATTCGCCGATTCACCACGAAAAAAGCTAAGCAAAAATAAAGTTTGTACACAACACAGAGCTACATCTGAATTACGTTCATCACACAACACGTATTACTCCGTTTTGAGGTATACACCTTTTGATTTTGATTCAAGATGGTGGCGTCTATGAAGTCTATACAATGATGAAAAGTGCGCTGCGTTAAGCACGTTTACTGCGTCAATGTGAATAACGCGTTCATTTATATTATGCGCGGTGTAGTCACAATATGTCTCTCATGGTCTCTATCTCTCCCTCTATTTCGTGCTAGATTGTTGTTTGTTCACTCAAACGAATTGTCACAGTTCAGCTGTGTGTTATTCGCTATGAACTTTGAGTATTGGTAATGTTATTTAAAATACTAAAGTGTATGCGGTATTTCGTTTGATTTTCAAAAAATTGAATTGTGTTTCACATTGTGACTACATTTTTTAAAACATGCACATAAATCAATTGATCGTGTTGATAAATGAATGATCCTTTTATCACTTGAAACATTGATAGCAATATTGAGAATGATAAGAAGAAAAAAACAAACTACAAAAAAAAAACCGAAACACAGTGGGATACATGTCCTATGTGATTGTTTTATCTATTGTTACCTAGATTGTTAGTGTTTTTAGGATCTAAAGTACAAAGTCGATGATGTTCAATGTTCATATCTCAAAAAGTAAATAGAAAAAAACAACGTGGGAAGGTTAGCATTTAACCAAAAAAAAATTTAGCACAGACCTATTTGTGTATGAAGTTCACTGATCAGTTTTCACTCGAGATACGATGACGGAATGTTCTTAATAATATTCACTTTTTTAATCTACTTTCAATTGAATTATGTACGAAATCAAACATTTTCAAACTAGATTATTATTTAAAATCCCGATACTTTAAGAATACATATTTTATAGAAAAATAATCGCTTAATATGCACTCGTTTCCATCACGTATTTTAAAATGAAAGGCGAATATTCGTAATTTTAGTTTTTTGCATTCGCTTTTAAGCCTACCTTCTTCAATTCTGTGTAGAAGTAAACACATGCATGAACAATAAACATGTGTGGTATGTGTTTGAAGGAAATAAAAATTTGCTGAATGATTTCAAAAATGTTCCATTTCAATGAACAACCATAAATTGGCCCATGTTAAGAGAAGCACCGTAGTGCTATAAAAACTGAAGGTAGATTGTATCTCTTCAATGTACTGTATTCAATAGTTTATTATATGTACTGTATTCAATAAAACTTGCCATTGTCATGTTTTGTGTCGAAAAGAATGTCTCTATAAAAAGTCAAATAAAATAATTTCAGTTTACTTTTGTGTGTATAATTTTTGTTATTAGAACTTTTATTTTCGTCCGTTTTTCTGTTAATTCATTCAAATATTTTGTCAGTTTTATATACATAACCTTTAATTTATTGCTGACTTTTTTCTCTATGTTTTTCTTCTAAATTTATTTAAGATTGTTTTCTTTTTCGCTGTGCCGTTTTTTACAATACAATGTCAACATGTATCATAAAAGTATCGAAAAAAAATACAAATACAATGTGTGAAAACATGTGTAGTTGAACTCGTTCATTTTTTGTGGAATGTATCTCAGTTTTGACCCAGCATGCAGACGAAAACAAGAATGAACACTCAAGATAATACATATCCGTTCACATAGCCGGTGGTACAACGCCGTTTAGCAGATGGAAAGTTCTTTGTTGGAACGCTGTTGATGGAGATTCAAGGATCTGTTGACCTTCACCCAGCGTGTCAGTCAAAAACAAATTATATCTCTTGAATCATATTACGTATGGCCAATTTGTGTTGAAAGTTTGTTCGAGACATAACGAGATTGTTCAAGAATTCGAAGCTAATGGGACAAGCAATTAAATTCGAAATCGGAAAGAAAGTTGAGGAATTTAGTCGAGACGTGAAATAAAACAAGCACAGTTTATTTTTGAGTTTATAATATTTTTTGTTAGAACTTTTGTGTTTATTCATTTTTCTTTTTGTCCATGTTAATGAATCATTCAAATAATTCGTCAGTTTTCATTTCTTAACTTGTTGCTCATTTTTTTCTGCATGATTTTTTTTCTCAATTCATTTTACGTTTTTTTTTATTTTTCACTATGCAATATACATAATTCCGGTTTTCACATATAAATTTGAAAAATATCGTAACCAGACGGAGGGAAAAAACAAACGAAATATATTAAGTAAAAGCAAAAAAAAAAAAATTCCGAAATCAAACAGAAAAAGGAAATTGAATACTATTATTACAAATGTTATGTAGGAAAATTCGATTCGTATATATTGTTTGAGTTCAATTGTTTATGCGCTTTGTATTTTGTTTGTTTTACTCTTAAAATGCAAACGAAAAAAAAAAACATAATCATAGAATATAATTTAATAAGATAAGTAATATATGGGACAAAAACACATGGATCTGTGTTACATCTTAAATAGAGTTTAATAGATACTAGTCGATCGCTATGAATTCTGTTTATTACTTAATTGCAATTTAATTTGCTTGATTTTCATTTCATTTTTGACTTATCGAATAATTTATAAATCAACGTAAATTTCATAATCCAATGTTTGGTTGACGTTTAGTTAAATATACTTTATTTGTTTCATCAAAATTATTATTTTTTTGCTTGCTTTTCGTTATTCACCACATTTGTTTTTTTTTTGTTTAAATAGAAAAAAGTCGCTTTTCTAATTGTTTTTCATTTTGCCATTAATTTCAATATTTAGATAGGATGTTTTATTTTGACGACGTTAGCTTCTATATGTGACACGCACCCCAGAGTGAGAAAATTTATTACAAAAAAAGAGTTTTGGATTTTTTTATCATCATTATTTTGCTGTTGTTGTTGTGTGTTGATTTGTTGCTTTCAAATAGAAAAAATTACATGCATTTTAAATCTATAAATTTAAATTGATGTTACATTAAATCACTATGTACGATAATTATAATTATTATTGTTGCTGCAAATAAGTGTGGTGAGAGAGTAAACGAGAGAGTGTTTGTATGTTTTTTTTCTTCTTTTCTTTGTTTCTTTTAATGAATGAGTGAACGTGTTTGTTTTAGTTTAAACGCTTCCATATCTCTCCTTAAGGCTATTATTTTTCAGTTTGTTTACACATTGGGAATCTTGACCAATTTTGCATAATTTTTTTTTTTTTTTGAAATTTTCCTTTTGTTTTATTCAATTTTTGTTGTTAATTTTATTCACTTTGTTTTCATACATATAAAATAGTGTTTATACGTGTAAATCAACTGTCGCTGAATTTAGTGGGAACTTATTTTTCTTTAGTCTGCACATCCTTGGCATTATTTTTTTTGCTCGATAAAATAAATGTTGGGATGAATGTAAGTGTAATTGTGTGGTTGTTGTTGTTTTTTTTTTTGTTTAATTTCTCATGTGTTTTGTTTTTCTCTTCCATTTAAAATGTGTGTATTTCTTTTCTCTTAATTTTCGGTAGTTTCGCCTGGCTTAACCTTGGATAAATTCTCTTCTCGTGGCTTGGCCGAACCGAAAATTGCGGCTGCCTGTTTGGTTTCAGCCACAGCATTAATTGGTTCCGTAACTGTTCGAGGTTTTAATATTAGTCTTGGCCTCTCGGCTTCATCTGAAATTTGGAATTTGACATTAGATATTTATTTCATTGAATATCTTTATTTTCTTCTTTTCAGTGATTTTCAATTGGTAATTTGCTTTTAGCAATAAATAATAATAACTAACCATGCACTGGAGTGGCGGCAGAAGGAGGAGGTCTGCTATCCGGATTATTATTGAACGAAGTAGGACGTTCCTGATTTCCTCGTCGGTTATAATTTCCGTACCTAAAATCAAACAATGAATTCCACGATAATTTTTTTTTTAGTTCGCTTGTCAATGGTGACAGATTAGGTAAAAAAATGGTAAATTCTCATGTTATTTACCTTTCTTCACGATTATTGTAGGATCCTTCGCGTTGGTTTCTTTCGAAGCGTACCATTTGACCAGGACCATCGTCGCTGAAGTTACCGTAGCGGCCTCGATTAGCTGGACGGTCTAAATAAGCAATAGACACATAGTATATTAATTTATTTCACTTTTAATTATGACGATAGTAAGTGTGGGTGAGAGAGAGAGTGTGTGTGTACAAACCATGATAGTTGTTGCCAGCAGGCCGGCTGCTGTTACCTCGACCATCTCTACCGAAGTCTCTGCCATCTCGTCCATGATGGTTTTGATTGTAACCATCATTATTATAACGATCATTACCGCTTCGGAATTGATCATTATTCATTTGTTGTTGTGGTCTTCCGCCACGATTATAATTATTCATGTTACCATGATTACGTTGTTGGTTTTGCGGTTGTTGCTGTTGTCCTTGTCCCTGTTGCGGTCCGCGTTTATTAAAACCGCTCCTATTTTCATTTCAAAAATCGAATTTTAAATTATTATCAAAAAAAATGTTGATTAAAAGTGAGTTCTCTCTTCATACCTGTCCTTTTTCTGTTCGGCAACATCAATACGCAGTGGAGCATCACATTCGTCCAAAGAAATTCGGCCATCCAATTCGAGTGCCTCTTTTAAATCGGATAAATTTTCAAATTCCACATAACAAAAGCCCTTAAACAAATCTGTATCTTTGTCGTTGACCAAACGCACATGTTTCACATACAAGTTTGGAAAGATTTTCTTAACATCTCCTTGAACGATTCCCTGCGGTAAATTTCCAACGAATGCCAAATATGGTGGTTCAGTTGGCAATGGTTTTTTGCCATAACCTCTGCGAAAGAGAGAAAGATAAATAAACTCTCATTTTAATACATATTTTATTTTGTTTGTACGTAATTCAAATGCACTCAAAATGATTTAGAGTTATTTAATCAATAAATGAGCTGTGAAAATGTGTCATTCGCCTATTCGTTGTGCGTTTTATCAATATTATTGACGACTTTTGCTTTCATTACAATATACCGGCAATTTACGTCGACTTATGTAACATCCCCGGTCGTTATTTTTTATGTGTGCGCTTTGAAGTGGCAAAGCAAAAAACGAAAAGTGACAACAGATAGCAGAGAACGGCATGGTTTGTATTCTATACATGTCCGTCTATTTATGTGTATGTGTGTTCTTTTTGTAAAATTCAAATCATAGTGGCAATGCGTTCGTGTTCGGAGCGTACAAAGAGTCGGCATTGAAAGAAGAAAGAATCTCGCAATCGGATCGAAAGCGGAAAAGCAAAAGTGACTCTAAATTTAGAAAACCAAGTTATATATATATTTTTTTTTTAATAATTCCGGATGAAAGCGAAAACATTTTATTCGTGATGCTTAACGAAGTCAAGTTAACTTTTACTGCAGAAATTAAAAAAAAAAACAGTTCAACGAGCGAAACCGAAAAGAAGGGATGCCTTTTCTTTTTGTACAAAACCAGCAAGAGAAAGAGAAAAAAATCTGCCAAAATGTGATGTTGCCGACACACCGTCGTCATCGTCGTTGTCGTGCAAAGAACCATGTACACATACATACACGCATGCGATACATTTTAACCATAACAAAAACCAACAAAAACAACACAGTACACACAGTCTTGAATGTCTGCGAAAAACGAACACATTTTTGGCATATAAGATGTGTAATGCGGTAACTACGGCAAATAGACAGCGCTGCTAGGCCCATTTAAAACTATTCATTTATTGTTTGTTACTTCACATATTTTCCGTCTCTCTGTGTATACATCGACTTCCTAATTGTATCGAACTCTGTTGAATTTTAAGAGAGACACTCAATGTACAAAATATACCAATTGCATTTTTGCCTTACGCCAGACACGAATAATGAATGATGACAAAATCACAGCGACCCCACCAAAATAATTAAACTATTGACCACACATAAAATGATTTTCCATAACCAAAAAAAGAAGAAGAAAAAGGGCATACCTGGAGTTGTTATCATAGGCACCTCTACCAGCCATGTCGTATGAAAAACTTGTCGATATACTTTGTTTTACACAATATCAACGGTTAATGAGTGTAATAAAAGAAATATATCAACAAACAGTAATTGTTTTTCGTCGGTTTGTTCTTATTTTGATTGTACACCGGTTTAATAGCAGTACTTGAGATGTATCTGTAAATAATGATGGCGATTTTTCGAAATCCAAACAATGTGCGTGCGTGCGCGCGTTCAATGCACTCTTTTCTAATACTTTTATTCTTCTTCTTCGTTTTTTTTCTCTTTAATTTGATAGATGCTTTTATTGCTTTTTCTGCACTGTTGTCGGTATCGTTCAAACTTCACTTGTGAATTGCATACAATTGTTTATAAACACTGCGGTTAATTATTCCGACTACAGTTTTCCGACTACGGTTTTATTGGTGAAATCAAATTTTCTCTCAGATGATCTGTATTCATTCAAAGTTCTCATTCCAAACTCCAAAATTCTTATCGTAAATCACTGATTTCCGGTAAATAGTGTGTATTTTCTCAATGTTAATACATTTAACATAGGTCACAATTCACGATAAAAAAGTTCCGAATATCAAATCGTTCCTTCTTCCGAAATATTTTTTGCACTCAATGCTCGCCTTTTACGGAGCTAATTGTCTTAAGCGATTCTGTGTATTTCAATGCACAACTCGCGCAAAAAATTGATAAATTTATATTCAAAAAAAAAAAATTGCTCTTGAATTGTATACGAATTTATTTACGTTTTTAATACGTAAACATCACACTTGGCTATTCAAAGAATATCGATTTGATTTACTCCAATGATGATCTTTTTTCCGTACAAAATATCTCAAAATTTATTCAACATTTGAAAAAAAATGCACACACATTTGAGGAATGGTTTTAACCATTTGACACATGTTCAGCCGTCCAAATGATAAAGACGACTTTAGAAAAGAAAATGGCTATATTTCGTTCCGTTGCCGCCGCTTGATGCGTTCTTTTTAACGTCAATCAACGGACTCGCACACACACAACATTCCAAACATTTTGGCAAATTCAATGGAACCACCATTGCAAATGATTCAATATTAAAAATACTTTCTAAAATTTACATGGATTTTATTTCAAAAATAAAATAAAAAAATGCTAAATTTGTATGGTTGTTTATGTCGGTTCAGGTATCGCATTCGAACTTGTGTCACATTGGTTGGCGATGATGCACCGTAACGCAAACGATAGACGTTAGTGTGGCGAATTCGAAATGTGGTCGTATGTCTCTTTTCAATGTTCATCTATTTGTCTTGTATTTCCATGCGGCGCTGTGCACATGTCAATATAGCAAAGCATTCGCAATGGTATTACACTTTTGACAGTTTCACAGCGCTGAAAAACCACGTTCGTCTGACAAATAATAACCGAACTTGTGTTACGTTCGACCAAAGTATGTGTACATATTGTATGTGAATATGAAGGCGAAGGAACAGCACGTGGATGCTTTGAAACAAAGCAAAAACAATAAAAACTCAAATATTGGCAATAAAATATCGGAATCGTTCAAGAAACTAACGAATAGTGAAAAACTGAATCGAATCAATGGAGCCGTCAATTTATTACAACATTTAAAAGAGATAAAAATCGACGAAAATCAGGTATGTGTGTTATCATCCATACTACCAAATACATCGACCTTTTTTTAGGTTGGAAACATTTAAAAATGTTGGTTTTTGATGGATTTTAGGTGGAAAAAGTACGAAATGTTCGTCGATTTGTACGCGGTTTGGGGGCATCAACATCGGACTCCCGCAGTGGTTTCTACGCAGCATTGGTTGCATTTCTGGCAACAAATCCCGACGATTATCCGACAATCACAAATCTTTTTGAATTAATGGATGTCACATTAAGCGTTGGAGCTGGTAGCAATATCGAAAAAGTAAGTAAAAACTATCTGAAGTTTAATCAAACTACAGATATAAATATTTGCATTTTTTTTATGTTGAACTTTTTAGGAAGATTCAGATGCACTGATCGGTCGTGTGTTGGTATGCGCATCCATTTTGCATGCAAACAAATTGAATTCAGCTAGCGATAGTGAAATCAAAAAGTGCATTGAAACATTAATAAATGCATCGCATTATAAATCGTATCATTCATCGCTTGCATACACATTTTTATTGGAATTGCTGGAGAAAATCAGCGAAAAACAATTCAACAAAATAATGTGGCCATTGATGCAAAAAGAGCTGAAACGTCCATGGGAAAAACAAAACATCAACACCGTTCAGTTTCTCATCAAATGCCAATCGAAGTATCCGGCTGCTATTGATGAAGATTTTCTATCGTCTTCATTGCAAACCAGTGACATTCTCACACCGTTGGCATACAAACATTTAGGCCGTTTATTTTGGTCACCGGCCACCACAATGATTGCCGTCACTCATCCATCATACGAAGTGTTTGGTCAATTTTTGTCACAATGTGTGCCAGAGAAGAAACTGCTCGATTTTTGGTACAAGGAAATCAACGAAATTCTACTTGCACCAACGAAATTTAAAGAAATTGTCACATTGCGACTCCTCACCATCCTCTTCAATGGGTGCCAAATTAAAAGCAAAACCGCTATTGCCCTATTGTCAAATGCGTTCATTGCGCTGCTCACGAAATCTCTGCGAAGCAGCAAACAACAGAAAAACAATGACAACAGCTCACCAACATTATACACTCAATTTTTTAACGCAATTGAAAAGTACACAAAACAAGAATCAATTAGCGAAACTGACAAGGTAGCAATCATTTTGAAGTTCATCGATTTTCCCGGTACGTTGGTCATTGAAAAGTACACACCAATTCGTGTGATTCACAAGTTTATCGTACAATTGAAATCGGATGGTGTTAAAGAATTGGTCGAATTTTACAAGAACATTTTGCTCGATCGAAAGACAAAGAATCCAAAATCGAACGAAGGATGGTTGCACATGGAACGAGAGCATTGTGTTCAAATGCTGCAAACGCTAATTGTTCAGAAATCCGTTCAGAATGACAGAGATTGGCGTGCCGAACAATTGCAATTCCTTTTGAAATATGGCCTCTTCTATGTGAACAAGCAAACGGACGCAATCGTAAAGGAGCGCGACTCGGATGTGTTGCCAAATGATTTGGCGCACAAATTGAAGCAAGCATTCTTTTCGAGTTTGCAAGCAAAATCGCAAAATATTGAAGCTGAAAAAATCACTCTGCTCACGATCATCGAGTATTGTAACAAACAACTATCGAGTAAATCAATCAATAAAACATTACGTCATCCGTTATCTGATGATGCTCTCCAAGCATGGCGCAAAATGTATGCAAATGTAACGACAAAAAAGAAGACAAAAAAAATTCTGTACAACGTTTTCGATATTCTATTGATGCACATGGGACTGCAATTGTTTGTCGATGCTCAAATGGCCATTTTCTCGATTGACGATTTGGAAAAGTGTTTGGAGCGATCACAAAATAAACTAAAAGCAAAAACAAAGTCCAACGAAACAAATGAAGCCGAATGGATTGAAGTTGTGGTAGATTTATTCTTACAATTGTTGTCACAGAGCAAAAGTTTTATGCGAACCGTTGTCGACAATGTATTTCCCGAACTGTGTCCGGCGTTGACACCAGCAGCCGTTGATCAAATTTTAATGATGTTAGACATGAGCGAAAAGAATCCATTGACACCGCATAATGCGACGGCCGAAAGTGATGATGAAGAGATGGAATCAGACGATGAAACCGAATCGGATGAAGAGAATGGCATTGAAAGTGACGATGAAGATGCCGACGAGAGCAGTGATGATGAAGATTTCACGGACGCCGATGAAGAGGGCACGGTTACAGATCACTTAAGATCGGCCGTGTCACAAGCACTTGGCGGTGCCATTCCGGAAACTGACACTGAATCGGTTGACTTGAACGATATGGACGATGAGGAGGCTCAACGTTTGGATGCCGCCTTGTCCGATGCATTTAGAGCAATTCGCAAAAAAACTGGCGAAAGTAAAAAGAAAACAAAACTCGAACGAACGACCAACACAACGGTCATGCATTTTCGAATTCGTGTATTGGATTTAATTGAAATTTACTTGAAAACAAGCCCATCGCTGGCAATCACATTGAACATTTTAACCGATCTTATTCCAATGTACGAACAATGTGTTGGCAACAAAGACCATCAACCACTGGTTAATCGTTTACAACGTGTTTTACGAATGTTACTAAATCTACGTGAATTTTCGAACATTGATGATGTTAACGAAATCAAATTGTACGAACTATTCCAAAGTATTATCAATGTTAAAGCGAATCCAGTTGCCATCAACGAACAGAATAAATTACGTTCAAATTTGTGCGCATTTTTAATAGCCGTCAGTCAATTGTTGAACTCACCCGATCCGATTTTGCTGGAAGCCGTTGCCGGATGTTTGGAAAATTTCTTGAGGGTGAGAAATCCAAAAGTTCAGTACACTGTGTTCAGTGACATTTTCAAAACACGATGGGTTGGTGTGTGGCGCCTGGGTCAAATTATTGCCCGGACGAGTCTATTGCGAGCCGATAAATGTCGACCATTCCGACGATCACAGGCCATCGATTTGCTTAGCATGATGTATAAGAATCATGGTTTTATCGCAAACGATACAAACGAATTCAATGAACATAATATTAAAATTGAAGCGGCCATTCATGTATATGTTGAATGGGCCAAAACAAGCGATCAAGTTTCGTCAAAAGAATTCTCGTCTCTGTTGGTATTGTTCCAAGAAATGCACAAATGCACACAGACAATTGGCAATTATAAATGCACCGTTAAATGGCCGAAAATTTGCGACAGCGTTCAATTGATTCGTCAGAAAATCGAACTCGACTCATATCAAGTTTATTTTGCGTTCTGCAAACGATTGGAAATTAAGGATATCAAAAATAGCGAAGTTGATACGTCAAAGACAAAGAACGGATTCAACACTGAAAACGGCCATCAGAACAGTGATGGAGAAGACGAAGAAGCTGACGAAGAGAATGGAGGAGAAGAAGAAAGCGAAGAGGAGATCGTGATCGAATCGAAACCAACAGTAACAAATGGTGTAACAAATGGTAAGAAACGAAAAGCCGATACCGACAATGGTGGATTAAGCAAAAAACGAAAGGCAAAACTAGAGAAAAAACTACGAAAACAAAATCGCCTCAAAATGTCATCGGCAGGTATGGAAGATGTTGCATTTTCATTTACACCACAAACAAACAATGATAAAGAAGATATGGACTCTGATTGAGAAAAAAAACATCCAGTAAAATAGTATCGGAGCGCATAATTCATTGCATACTTTGTTTTAAAGTAATTTCAAATGTCAATAAAATCTTATTTTATTAATTCAAATTATTGCATTCCACTTTTATTTATTATATTCAAAAGATCTTTGTCGACAAAAAAAAATAGAATTTTGCTAAATTCAGATGAAAGTTGTAAGTACACAGCTGATGGATGTATCAAAACGGAGTTCAAACACCAACAAGGTAAAACGCTCTTCCATTGACATCGATTATTAAAAGGCTTTTTTACAATTCTGGGTGTTGTTCTTCGGTCACAGCATTGCCCAATTTTACAGCAGCCGTATATTCAGCGTAATTCAAGTAGCCATCATTATTCAGATCGGCCAAATTCAAAAAATTGTCGAGTACATCTAAAAATTCAAAAGAAAAAAACAATCGCTGTTAAATCCATATGTATGCTATGTGATTGATACGAACCTATAATGTGATTAATATTTTGGTTAACTATTTGTCCATTTTCATCAAGTTCTAGAAGTTTTAAATTTGATACATTCGACGCCGAACTGTTATCGAGCGCCGTTTGATCTTCTTGTGTTCCGCTCGCTTCGTTGTTTTCGCTTCCTTTATCGTGTTCATGATCGTCTTCAGATGCAGAATGGTGTGTCGCGGAATAGAATATTTCCAAGCCATCTAATTTATCATTATTATCTAAATCGTGAACTTTAAAGTACATGTAATTTCTCTCCTCTTCTGTCATTTCTTCGACATTTTTCTGATTTGGTAAGTCATGTTGGTGAGCATTTAAATCTTCTTGAATGTGCCTGCAATTCGAGCGCCAATATTAAATGTCATGAAATAAATAACAAAGCAGGTGCAATTAATACATACTGAGCATTAAACGCCAAGTGTTCGTTAATATGTTGTTGTTCGTCAGCGCGACGTTTTTCACTTTTCGGATGATGTGGTCCACGGGCGTAGCAAAAGTCAATCAGAAGTGAATACAATAGAAAAATTCCAATCATTCGACGAGTAATGTTTATTCGTCTCGTAATGTTGTTCAATATATCAATTTGTTGCATTTTTCTTTCGTTTAATCCAAAATATTTTGTATCTGAATTGATGTCGTTGATACAACGAACAACGAAATTTGTCTCCTATGAATAAAATAATTACATATAAAACAAATGTTATGATTTCAATACTGGTTTTGGGTAATAGGAGACATAGAAAAAGAGAGAGAGGAAAAAGTGTCGTCAAACCGTGTTGAAAGCAAATAGATGGGTATAACCAAGGGATTGAATTGATGGTGGGCTTTGCTCTCATTACATTTCAATTTGAATGTAGACGCCGATTCAATGCCAGTATTCACTTGCTTCATGCACACAAAGTACATCGAATTATCATATAATTAGAGGCATTGATGCTAAGGGGTACATATCGTATTGAAGATATGAGGCTATTGCGTAGTATAACAAGTTATCGTGAGTCTTGGTTCAGAGCAAAAAAAAAACACCAGATGAGTTCCCATGGAGAACGGATTCAAAATACCATTGAATAATTTTAAAAGAAATTTCTGGACTTTTATTGGTCTTCATTTTTATGGTGACAAAATTAATCGCCTCTAGATTTTTCGTAACATTTTGGAACTCCTTTAGATTGTCAATTTCATGTCCATCCCCCTGAAATTGAAACTGCAACCATGTATACGAATTTGTTGGCAGTATTCTTTGTTATTGGAACATTGGCCAAAATACAAGAATCGCATGTGACATATTTGGAAAGTGGTTTGATATAAAATTACAGTTTAATGCACTGGTCCCTATAATCAAGCGTTGAATTTTTTTTTGCAGACGAAAAAAACCCCTATTTTGCATCCCATTCATGCGTACTTGTTGAAGCGATACATTCTAAAGATAAACGCACGTATGTTTACATTTTTCTTCCTTTCTCTCTCGGTGTCGCTCTTTCGATGTACGATTGAGTACTCCAACAAACTTGTCGCATTGATTCGTTATTTGTGTGTCGATGTTGAAATGCGATTAGAGTTCGACTTTCGCACACAATAACCAAATCTGTATCAATTCTATGGAAAGTCGGAAATAGTTTGGTGTGTACAATAATAATAGCAGCGCGAATCTGTTCCATTCACTGCCGCACATGAATGAAACAATAAAAGTAATTGAAATCGCCTACATTGACGATTCATTCCAAATGAGTGACAACACCTCAGGGGGCTTTCAGTGTGAGCAAGCGGAATGTAAAAGAAAAATGCTTGCTTGCGGTGATAGTGGTGTATTTTATCCTTTGATGAGCATTAATCCAAATGTGCCTTTGTACAAACTCAACGATGATGGTAATAATTTGAGGGGATTAACGCACATTTCGATATATATGGACAAAATTGAGTACAGCTTTGCATAAAAATTGTACTCCCAATTTTCTTTGATGCTACCAAACACAAAAAAATCGGAAAAACAATCAAGTGGCACACAATGCCGAAAAAAATCTATCGAAGTCTCTTATTTTTCAAGAAATTATCGAATGTTTGCTTGAAAAACCCTACGGCATCGTAAAAGTGCAACCTGAGTCTTAAAAGAGTCCATTCGATCGGAATATCAAACCTCATCAATGTCATCATCAAATAACAATGAAAATGTGACAAATATTCAATTTACGAGACTGTTTCAAGTTTCTACATACATACAATCTACCACCAGCAAAGAATGTACTCAATGCACAAAGCGAAACATATGCAAAAAAACGAATATGAACGAATTGACGAAAGCCGATGAACAAGAGATGCAGAAGAATTAACCACCATGTGACATATGGGACATTTCGAGGGTATGATTTACAACAAGGCCGATTAGTACAAACACCTTCATACGTGCACAGCAACCACTACGGTTGTGACTGTATGACAATAGAGGCGCCGACACAGCTCAACTGGTCGCGATGCATAAATACGCTAGGGAACATGGAACTAAGTGATTTGTGTGCCTATTTCGTATATACATACATGCATTTGCACCCTATAAATAATAGTGCTGTTTGATGAATGCTGTTTTACTTGTGCAGAACAACCCTCCTTGTAATGTGTTACAACAAATCGTTTTTTAAATAGATTTAAGTATTATTATATGTTATGAATAAAATGGAAATCGTATCAAATTACTAGAATGGGCCAGCTTTTCAGCTTCGCTAGTATCAATGGTCACAATGACAAATACGATGAATAAATATGACAAATGCCACACTCATTAACAAGCAATGAATCTTCACTTTAATGAATTTGAATGAAGAAGATGGGTCAGCCACGGATTTGACGAGAGAAAAAATGTTCGTTTCAACTCTTTAGATTCGAAGAAATTGAAATTGCTTGCGTTCATTCACTGAAAAAATTACGTGTTTACTTTGAAAAGATTAATTACCGTTTGAATCGACAGGTAAACAACAGATTACATAACACCACACTCTTAAATAACAGCTATCAGGGGACGTGTTTAACAAATTATTTAACGATTTTCTTTTATAATTATGAATGAATAGATTATTCAGAGAGTATTTGAACACACGCACTTACTTTAGTCAAATTTCTATGATCAACACTCGGTTTTAAATGAAATGTCAAATGGTTGTTTTGCGAATGGATTTGTTGTTGTTCTAAAGCTCGTGCTATGGGAGAAAAATCAATAGCAAAAACATTGCCAAAGCGAATGAATATGTCAAAAGCGGCGAAATCCAATTGCAGACATGCGCATCACTCAAGCATCTTTATTTCAAATATTCGTGCATATATCGTTCCTGAATCTAACGCATTCACTGAATTTCAAATGTTTTGCTTTTAAATATTGAATAATTTAATAATTGATAAACAACAACAATAACCATAATGTTGAATCTATATATCGACTTTTGATCTTGACAAATAGATTTTCATGTCACAAATAGAATTATTAAATGCTTCGAGGAAACCATACATAATGAATTTTTTTTTTCGCTGACAAAATCACACTCTAGAATTTACTGGTAATATGATTCATTTGAAGCATTTGCCAGCGAAGAATTTTCATCTTTTTTCCTCACCAAAATCATGCATACAAAAGATGCACACAAGCTGGTTGCATGTTTTTCTGTTCGCTGCAATTGAAAGTAAGTTTTTCATTGTATCTATTCCGAAGAAAATGGCAATCGAATTAAGTGAAAATTTGCATTCACCTATTCAGTTGCAGGAAGCGAGTGCTTGCAACAAAACTGATGATTATGATGATGATGACGACGATGATGTTCAAAAGATGGCTTTCAGTTTCTTTTGTTTTCACTCAAATTGAGGATTTCTCTCTCTCCCTCTGGCTCTTTCTTTCTCGCCGATTTCGCGATTCTATGGTGCATATTATCGCCGAAAGTAAATTATGCTTGAAATCGTTGAATATATACAAAAATAAGACGCACATCGCTTGAAAATTGACTGCATCGAATTTGGAAAATGTTTACTAAGATCTAATATTGCACGTATGCATTTTTTATCTTTTTTTCTCGAGCGATGAATCAAGATTAAAGTGCATGCATATGCACACACAGGTAAATGAAGCATTGAAATGATGTTAAAGCAAATATATTATACGTTTATGTATCCATCCAATTTGTACAGATTCACTTGTGATAGTGATTTTTGCTCGTTTCTCAACGTACAACCGTCGTTGACAAAAAAAAAAAAAAAAAAAAAAACAGATATAGATGAGCAGTTCTTTGTACCATGAAATTGTTTTGTCATAATAATGGATGCGATAATAGTTTTGTCTTTTGTTACTGTTGTCTTTGTCATTGTTTGCTCGATAACATGCTCAACGATTTTCATTTTATTTACTCACATTTTTTTTGCCCCGAAAAGAGTTTTTTTGCGAACAAAAACATACCTACCATTTTTTTTCTCAATTTTTTACTACCTGCACATTTCCTTATAAATCAACTGACAGAAACAGTACATGGATTAGTTTGACTTGGTTTCTTAAGCAGTGCGCGTCACTTGGACTGAATAATATATATAGACCAATCTCTCTCAGTCAAGAATTGTAACGAAAATATATAAAAAATGTTATTTAAATGTGTGATTGGTGTTTGGATGATAACAATTGCGGTGAAATCTGTACGCTGCGATGATATCGCTCAAAATGAAATTCAAGATTCAAATTATGGAGGTGATCAATATGGAAATCGACAAGAAATTGAGAATGTGCCGGGGAATGGACCAAACGACGCACCCATCGTGTACGGACCACAACCACCATCTGGAAGCTGGTTTGATTCAGCACGAAATGCATTAAATGGACCCACAGGACAAATTGTCGTTTCTATGGCCAGGGAAATGATATCCCGTTCGACTGGAAATAGTCAGGTAAAAAAAATTAAAAAAATTATGTTTTTTTTCTTTTTGTTTGATTTCAAAACTTTTTTTAAATTTCAACAATTTTTTTGGCAGATTTTAAGTTTAAATTTGACGAATCTGTTGATTTTGGTGATGTTGAAGGCATTAATTTTTGCTGCCGGTCTTATTGGAGCGGGCAATTGGGGTGGTCAATATGCAAGGGCACGTGCATTGGATTGTAAGTTCTGCTTTCCTACTTCGCTAATATGAAAATTGTTTCCTTGACAAAAAAAAAACTATTTAACATTCAGTGAAAGTGTTTTTTTTACAACTTTTAAATTATATTTCCACATAAATTATGTTCCGTTAATTCATTTCATCCAATTAATAAGTGCATACAGAAAATTCAGAATTGGCGTGCTATGTTCAAGTGAAAATATACAAGTTCACATGAATTTTCAACCGAGCGAATCGTTGCTGCTGTTTGCATTTTGTATGCGAATCGTTGCGGAAACAAACGAGTTGAATCACCTATTTTTTTTAGTCACACAATAAAGTGTTCATATTTTTGAAACAACATGTGAATGCCATTTAAATCGAATATTTTGATCAAATCGTATCGCACAAACAAAAGACATTGCACAATCTTTGTTATGTATTCTGTTTGTAATAACTATGTAATAATTAATTGCCCGTATTAATTAATCATGAAATGAATCACTGTTTTGTGTAATAAAAAAAAATCCCTCATTGCAGCTTCCTTCATACGAACAGACGAGGCGCCGCTATTCATTGGCTATTTAGCATTGGAGGGTTCGGGTCAAGATGGATGTTTGAATCAAGCGGCTTGCAAATCGCCGGACATTGCACGAGAGTATATGAAAGCTGCAATGGCTGTTATCAAAGGCTCGGAAATGTTTGATCAACATTTTTTCAATACAACCAGACTTTATTCATACACACTGAATCAAATGGAGCATTCAATTCAACGTGGAATAGACGGTGATGACTGTGATTTGATTTATCATTGTCACCTGTAACTCAATTTCTCATTTCCTCTCCACTTGGGATTTGCTAGAGGAATATTGCACTGATTAAAATTGTCAATTTATTTCGTCTTTGTTACATTTTTTTAGTCATGGTATTTCGGTTTAGGCTTAGTGAGAATATGTTCAAGTGAAAATAAAATTCTTCCGAAAAAAAAATCTTCCCATTTTTGTCCGTTTTTGTGTGTGATTTTAAACGAATGTTTAGAGTAATGTAGAAGATCCATTAACTGCGATAAGGATTTTTTTTGCTGTAGCCAGTGATATTTATTTTATTGTATTATTTGCCTGGTTGTCCCTTGTCCTTGGAATGACGACAGAAAAACGGCCACTATCTAAAGCCATTTGTAATTTTTATCTCGAAACTTTTGTTGTCAGTCGATGGTGTTGCGTATGTGTGTGTTTAAAAACGAAATAGGCGAAAAATTGTTTGCTCGAAAAGAAGATAATGTCGGGCATATTTAATACATTTGATATACATTAATACCATTTTATACTTTGGTTTTCATGTTGAAATTGTTTGGCTCTGACTACCCGAATAATGGCCGCTTTTGCAGGTCATCATCGTCGTTTTCACTCGCTGCTTCGTCCGCCACAACACTTGGTAATATATACGACCGAGAGAGAGAGAGAGGGAGAGAGAGAGAGGGATAAAAAACATTTTTGCAATCTGCCGTTAAATTTAATGTGATTTTCGTGTTGGTCCTCTTTACATGCATGCGCCACAATTTAAATGTTTGGCTTGTTGTGTTAAGTTTTGCTCAGATAATGGGCTTTCACTTTGATCCTTTTGCACTTGCTTACGTGTATCTATTATTTGATGTTGTATGTTGTTGTATGCCGTACATACGCAAGCACAGCCAATGCCATTGGATCGGACGCTATTAGTGCTAATGGATTGTTCTTTAGTAGCCGCTTTTAAGTAATATCTATTTGGATATTTTAAGAGTGATTTTTTTTGCTGTTGTCACATTTTCCGTGTCCTCTCCTGGTGTTTTTGTCATTAGGAAGGAATTTCGAGAGCGAGGCGAAAAAAGTCATTTGGTATGCGTGCGGTTGTAAAAATGTATACCCATTTTCCACTAAATAAAATTCAAAGGCAAACCCACAATTCCGATAATAATTCCTGGAAAGCTAAAAAATGTTTCCTGCTTATTCGAGAAAAAAAAAAACAACTGAAGAGCAAAACCCTCAAATTCATCTGAATGACAAAGTGAATATTTCATTAAAGTGGCTCAGCCATAAGTGAACGGCCAAAACTTTCCGAGAAAAGTGAATCAAAATGAGAGAGAGAGAGAGAGAGAAAAGGTCTTTGAGAGACGACCAACCGCACATTGACTCAAACCGCGTGTTTTATGAAATGTTAAATTTTCTTCCGTTTAAAGTGTTCAACTACCAGAAAATTGCTAAACTGCTCATTTTACATGTCAAGTGACATGTTTCTCTCTTTGACAATTAGCCATTTTCCGATACCGACAACAACAGAACAAGACAGTTTAATTAATTTGCGTTCAGCTTCATTTTCTTATAAAAACTCCGCCGACTCAATGAAAATCAATGAAAGTACCATTTTTACATATTTTTTTTCGTGTAGTACTTGGCAAAGCAAAACGACCGTGGTGGAATGAACGAGTGTCAAATTTAACACAGTAACCAGATGTATATGCCCCGATTTCACGTCGAATTCTAAAAGAATGGAATAATATTTAAAGTGGAATTTTGAAATGTTTTCAAAATCCATTGCTGCAAAAGTTTGACAATGCATAAATAAAAAAAGGGCAAAAAATCTGTCTACAGACTTGTATTCAAAAGCAATTTTTATTACGAGTGAGCGTATTCGCTAGAGAAATTCGAGTGTTGATCAAGTTGATGCCTCAGGCGCACATATGTCACCCAATACTTAGCAATTCATATGGTGCTTAGAAACAACCATATAAAATGATTCGTTTGAAAAATATACACATTTCATATGCTCCCGATATGAAAATGAAGATGTATAACTTTATTTCAAATGTCGAGCACTGTTGTTTTTTTTCAACTCACAAATTCAAAAATCATACTTGTTAACAGACGATATAATCACGATGTATAATGTTACAAATGCAATTATTTAGCATCATAATGATCTTTATCGAGGATATGAGAGAATACGGTGTATGTATGTAATATTTACAAATGAGCCGGTTCGTTCATTTATTGTAAACTGTGTGTGTGTTTGATCAGTCAAACAACATGTTCAACCACGAGTTTGAGTTGATTATATGCGTGTTGAAAATCGATAATTACAGCCTTAATCGCAAATTCAATTAGAACCGTACACGCATATGTTTCGATTTAGCTGGATTACATTAATTATTTTTTATCCCGTTCACTCTATTTTTTTCATACGAAACTACAAAAAAGGGCCAAAGTCAAATAGGTGCGAATTTCCAGAAATTATTATTACGGAAAATGCGTTACTAGACCAATCATTATTCAATAATTATGGCAAATAGTGAAAATGAGTTTCCATTGCCGTGAGGTCTTGTGCAATTGCCAATTCTACAAAAAAAATGATTGCTGTTGTTGTTGCTGACTCATTTGTTTGAATCACATGACGCAACGGGCTTGCGATTAGCATAAAAGTGTTTAATAATTTTTCCCAGCAGAGAAACAGAGAAAGTGCGTGCATCACACGACAAAGATGATTTTCAAAATAGCAATGAACATAAAATTTGCACAAAATTTATGGCGAAATCAATTAATGAATGTTCTCTATTGCGACATGTATTCATTTGCGTTCACGCATTTGAAATGGTCGCGCGATTTTCACGGAAAAAAATTCACAATTCCGTGCACTATTTTTCCAACCGTTTTATGATAAGCCAAAGCGAACAAATGGAATGACGAGCGAACGAGGGACAGAGAGAAAGCGGAGAAAGATAGCCTATTTTGCATATTGATACAAAACGAATGAAAATTGTATGCATAGGATATATGTCTCATTGTTTCGATTGCCATCGGCATTGCATGAATTATACTGTTAAATTTTGCTGAATTTCATATCGTTATGTTACCGACGATTTTCCTGCGCTACATTCGATATTCGATGCATGCGCATGAAAATTTCTTTTGGCCGTTGTTTTTGTTGTTGGTTCGTTGCTTTTGCAATGGCGATAAAGTGAGAGAGTGATAAGCAAACCGAATCGCTGTGCGGGATGATAGAGAATGAAATGCGACAGAGGAATATAATTTTCAAATGGAAACAATGCAAATAGAACAGCCGAACACCATTCTAATTTGCATTTTACGGAAAATTAATAGAACGCTGTTCACAAAGTTGTGAATTTAATCGAAATTAGAGGTGCGTCTAGCTTCGTATCGCCATAAATTTTTGCCATTTTGCACGTATTGGTTGAGCGAATGAACATTTGTCTATAGTTTTCAACTTCGATGAAAACGCACGAATACGTTTACCCTGACAAATGGAGTTTGTACCGACGATGTGTTTGTCGGTGTATGTTGAATGCCGAAAATAATTTTCCAAGCCAATTTTATTTGTTCGCAATGAAATTGCTTTCGGTTGGTTAATGCTGTGCGCCCCAAAACCAATGCTGTTTATAGAACACTTGATATTTTCGGTGCGAGATTTTTTTTCTTCTCAAGCGTATTTTTGCTGCAAAGTTGCCGTACACACTATTCGCTTTCTGTTTACGGCAATATCAACGGCATATTAGTTCTAGATGGCCTGAAGATAGTATTTCTATTAAACACAAAAAAAAACTTTCTGCAGAAAAATCAACAAGGGCAAAAGTGATAGAGCAACTTTACGGTTACCGAGTGTTATGTAGAAAAATATACGCGCTAATTTTCCCAACAACACATGGAAAAAGTCAACGGCAGTGAAAGATTTCCCAATAACCTTTTCCCATTTTTCTCTCTATCTCGTTCTGTATTCGCATCAAAATACAACTGAAAAAAAAAATAATTCCAAGGGTAATGAGTTTTTAATAGAAAAGACGTCAGTTTTATCTTATTCGCAGGCTGTTGTGGCAAGCGCATCTTTCAATCGAGACACAAACATGCTAGCCATCACCAAAATATTCAACGAAATAAACCATAACAAAGAATTTTTCTTCAGAAATCGAAGCACCCACTTTGTCCTTTTCCAATTCGTGTTCTGCACATGTCTGCAAGCCAGCTCGTTCGTTTTGATCGTGAAAAAAAAAGAAACATTTTAATGTGAAGCGTCCCGTTAATATATATAACAACAAAATACAAGAACGACATCAAGTTGAAGAGGCGAATTGCAATCAAAGCATAACATTTCTATCGATAAATTCGAATATGTTACCCGAGGTATTTTCTATTAAGTTGACTGAACAATATAGCGTACGCGCACATTGGGGATGTCATATTACTTTTATATACAATATGTATTACTATAATATATTTTATTTGAACTTCATTTCTCATGTATAAAGTTGGCATTTTTTTTGCTTCTGCCTCTGCTTCTTCTTTTCTCGTAATAATTTTCTCGTTCATCATCAACACGACGGAATCTTAATGTAAGACGAGATCGAATGGAGACAGAGTTTGCTGTGTGCTCGACTTTTTCGTTCAATTTTTCCATCAAAAAGCGTAAATGACTTTTTCTGAATGAATAACTTTGTGCAATGGCGTTTTTCAAGCATCGCCAAGCATCGATTTGATAACTTTCTATCAGGCGCTTATTAAGACGGAACAATTTTTATCACATTTTTTTTTCTTCTTCTTTCGTTGCCTCCAATTCATCAATCTATCTCTTTCTTTCATTCTTTTTACCTATTCTCTTTTTCGCTTTTTCATCCGTTCTATATTTGCACGTTTACACTCAGCGCTCAACAATTCGCATCACTTATAAGCATCAAGCATTGAAATATAATATCCTCTTGATTTTGTAGCTGGTAGAAAAGTGGCCTCGGTGTGTGTGCGCGCCATAAACGACAAGGAAAAAAAAAACAATTTTCTTTCAATTTTAGTTGACAATTATTTATCTCATCCGGTTTATTGGATTTTGTTTGACAAAAGATTGCTTCGATTTAGCACCATCAATGGCAAATACACATATACGG